GTCATCAGCTGCATTCATGATAGATTGTTGGTCTAGTTGAGAAACAACAGACACAGCTAGGAAAAGGGAATAGCCAAAAGGAGCTCATTGGCATTCTGTCAACATTCCCCTAGAGTCACTCAGAATCAAAAGCCTCAGATTTTTACTATGTAACGGAATATAATTGGGAGAAATTAAGTGGCAAAGTACATAGACTGCTGAACCTAGAGTTGGGGAGACGAGTTCAAATCTGGCCTCAGATATTACTAGCTCTTTGACCCAGCTGAATTTTCCTCATCTGTAAAATGGGTATAATAATAACAATGACCTCATAGGTTGTTGTGAGGACAAAGTAAGATAATTTGTGTAAAGAGCTTTGCTAAACTTGAAAACACCATATAAAATCTCTCACGTATACTCACACAAACAACATACTAACTAATTCTACCTCTCTCCTGCATTACTATTACAACCTAACAGGTGAACCTGACCACAGGCTCTGCCCTCAGAGGCCATGAGGTGGTGCCATGGTGCCCAGGGCATTAGGCCCGGAGTCAGGAAGACGTGAGGTCAGATTTGTTCTCAAACAAACATGACTAGCTGTGTGACGCTTGGGCAAATCACTTCCCTCATTTTCTTCAGTTATAAAATGAAGACAATAACAGGGCCTACCTTGCAGGGTTATTTGTAAAGAGCTGCTTTTAGAGTGCTTAGAAAATTCATTCCTAGTTCAAATATTTTCCTTAAAAGTCTTTACAGTATTAATTTGCTTATCAAACACTTTAAAAATAAATGATACAAAAATAAAACTTCAGTCTTGCCCTTGTCTGAATAATCACGAATTCTAAAACAATAGTGAGGCGATAATGTAATTATACTGTAGCATCTGTGTGATTGTCATTAACTCTGTCATCATGGTTAATATTTACATGGTGCCTACCATGTGCCAGGCACCATGCTAAGTGCCTTACAATTATTATCATAGCTGGAGATATCCTACCAGCCTCCAAGATGGGAAGAGAAGAACCTCAAGAGACAGATTTGGTCTATGGACCCTCTACCAGGGCCATGAGCCTGAACTGACTGTGGTCTTGTCTCACTGTGATTAGGTAGCACCCAGATGAAAGCATAATTTGATTATCACTCTACTGGAAGCATAGATAATGACATGAATATTGTGTGTAGGTATAGAGTGTTACCTGAATCACTTCTCTCAATACATAGAGCGCCAGACCTGAAGTCAGGAAGATCAGAGTGCAAATCTGGCCTCAGACACTGACTAGCTGTGTGACCCTGGGCAAGTCACTTGACCCCATTTGCCTCAGTTTCCTGATCTGTAAAATAAGCCAGAGAAGCAAACGGCAAGCCACTCCAGTATCTTTAAGAAGAAAACCCCAAATGGGGTCGTGAAGAGTTGGACACGACTGAAATGACTTGAACAACAACAAATTCTATCTTAATTAGATTTGGGGTATGGATTAATTTTCATTTACTCTTTGGATGTTCTGATGTAGAAATAGCAGTGCTGGTACTCAATTTTTGGTGAGGATACTTGATGATCTAAGATAGCAAAATAAATCTGAGAAGTAGTAAGGAATCCCAGAGTTATGCAGTTATTGGGGGTGGAGTACAGGACATGTGTACAATTGCATTAAGAGTTAATGTGGCATAATAAAGAGTCATCAGAGCCAGAAAGACCTGGGTTCAAGCCTACCTCTGACAGGCAACTCATTTCACCTCAAAGTGCCCAGTCTATTGACTATAAATTACGGAGCAGGTGCTAAATTGCACGCAAACACATGCATGCACTTATACAAGTATGTGCAAGTACATACGCACACACACACACACACACACACACACACACACCATTCTTTTTTTTTTAACAGATTTTGTTTTTTCAATCAATTATTACCCCAAACTGTCCATATTTCCATGCCCCAGCATCAGAGGTAAGGGAACACACACACCATTCTTAAAAAAAAACAAACCCTACACTACTAACAGGATGGCTGTTGAGGAATGAGCTTTGTAAACTTGAGAGTGATACACAAGTTTGAATTCTCATCATTCTCGGTAGAAAGTCAGTTTGATTTTAGGTGGTATACTGACAAACTCCAGCCGAATCAGTGGATGGCAGTTAGACTTCCTACGGAGTGGAGACAGTAGTGATTAGACAGTCCTACCCAGAGAGATGAGAGGAAAGCAAAGAGATGAATCCAGCGCTATAGGGGAAGCCCCTATTTGCATTCCCTATTTTCTATCTCTTCTAGAATGAGAAAAGTCATGGAAATAAGGAAGTGAATAATGGTGATTTCTCTCCATCCACTGACATTCTGTTTTCAACTATAATTTGATCAGATGTTGAGAGAGGCAGAAAGAAAAAAAAGCTACCGGTAACCGGTGAGAACAGCTCATTTTGATAAACTTGAATGCACAGTTGTTAATGTGAAAAATGATTTTCAATTCAGCCCACACCTTGCTAGGTGGCAAAGTGGATAAAGCACGAGTCCTGGAGTTAAGAAGACTTGAGTTCAAATCCAGTCTCAAATACTTCTTAGCTATGTAACCCTCAACAAGTCACTTAACCTCAGTTTGCCTCAGTTTATTCAACTGTACGATGGGGTAATAATAGCACTGACCTTATAGGGTTGTTGTGAGGATCAAATGAGATAATATTTGTAAAAAGTGCTTAGCACAGTGCCTGGCACATAATAGTGCTGTATGAATGCTTGTTTTCTTCACCACATCACTCACCATGTCCCCAACCTTAATGCAAGAAGCATGAGCCAGAAGCAGAAATAGACATGCAGGGCAGAGAAAATAAGTACAGAAGACTTGATTAAGAGCAGTTTTAACATAAGTGGAACCATATTTCTCTCTGGGAGATTACCAGACAACTTGTTTAGAATGCTGCTTGATCCAATTTTAAGCATAGTTTCATATATTTCTTTTTAAATAATGCGCTGCAACTGATATCTTCTTTCTGATGTCTCTTGGGAACGAGTTGTGTAAGTCATATAGTTACATTAAAGTAATAACTTGTTTTCTCAGAAAACAAGAGGCTCACTGCAAAAGTGGTAGATACTGGACAGCTCCACCCTCCCTATTTCCTTCACCCTTCCCACTTCCCCCTCCCCCCAAATAAAAGACTGTAAACCCACCACCTAGTGGTGACTCCCTCAGCCTACACATATGTAATCTCTGCTTCCCAGAGAGATATGGTGTGTGATGCATCCGGCTAAAGTCATTCATACGTTCCAATAAATTATTTATCAACAAGCATTTACTAAATGATTACTTTGTGATGGGTAACAACATGACAGCTAAAGATTAACTTGTGAAATCAGAAATCTTGACAGTAAAGATTTTTTTTAATTTTATACATTATTTCTGAAATGCCAGTTAAAGCGTTGTAAATATACAGAAATTTAGTGAAAGGATTTCCTAGGAAGAGGAAATAATAAGTCACTGTGACTCGGTGTTATTTGGGCAACCATCCGTCACACTAGATGCAAAAATCCATTTTTCCTATTAAGTATTTTAGGCACACTATTATCTGGGAAAAAGAATCAAAACTGGACCTTGTTTAAAGGCAGTTCTTAAATAAGTACAATTTCAGTTTTCCCTCTTTTAAAAACACTGCAGTGCATTTGCCAAAGGTATTAAAGCTTCTTGGGAAACAAGCTGTACTATCCTCTCCAATCCAAATTCAGCCTGTGTTTTGCAGTTCATTAATAAATCATAACCCACTCTTCTTAAAATTACACGTCAACCAGTTGGATTCCATCTTCCTCAATGTATATCAATAGGGACTCCGTGACAGGATGTAAGAGCAAGAATTCCTTTCCCTTTCCTCATGTTTCTCAGAAGAACCGAGTGTTCCAAAACCCTGCATGCATCACTCCTGGCTGAAGGCATTTACTAGAAACTCGTTCAAAATTTTCTCTTAGTTTGATTTACGATCTTCCTATCCCCGTGGGCCATTAAATATCTTAGGACTGTTCAAACTATTGTAATGCATTGTTAAAAAAAAATTTAAACTGTTATTGTCCTTAAAGTTCAGGTTTCAAGGTTAAAAAAAAAAGGGGGGGTCAATAAACAAATGAGCACACACTATAAGGGCCTCTCAGCTTTTGGTCAAGAGGCCCTCCTTTGGAGGACTTCTTCCCTTCCGCTGTACTACAACTGAACTATTACTTTAAAAACCCCCCAACACATTAGGACTCATGCTCTCATGCCCTTCTTTACTCTTTTAGTCTGTCTCCATAATGTCAACTACTTGCACTAAATTAAATGGATTCAAATGTTAATTGTTCTTTGCCCAAGAGACAACAGGTTTACTCAAAATAATCAAAGAGGAAATAAATACTGAATCCTGAGATGACCACCTTATCACCCAGTGAAATGAATGAAATTTGACTTAAAGTTAATTTAAACTAATATAATGTTTGACAATAGGAAGAGAAGGAAAGAAGTTTTTTTTTCATGATTAGTAAAACAAATGTAGTTGAATGCATTTGAGTAAAGCTAGCTTTTTTTTTTTTAAGGAAAGCTTTTCCACACATACCCCCAACCCAAATCTCTGTGGCACCTAGCACAGTATCCCTGCTAAGGCTCCTGATGTGATATGGCTATGCCACTTTACCAACTGTAGGAGTCGTGAAGCAAGAGCACAAGGTAAAAAAAGGATCAAAGGATAAAAAACAGAACAAGAAACTAAGTATTAAAATACACACACACACACACACACACACACACACACACACACACACACACACACACCCCAAAGCATAATTTTCTCACATTTGTGTGGCTAGAAATTAGTTACGAACTGTTACTATTTGTGTGGAACTTTCCTTTTGCCTCAATTATTTCCACGTGGGTGCTGTAAGCGCAATTAGTGAAAAAATTATTAAAGAAAAGAAAAAAAGCTCGAATCCCAAAGGGTCTCAAGAATTATAAGTAAAAAAGGATCAAACAATTCCGATGCCCAGGCCTGTGATTCAGCGTGTACTCACCGTTGTGGTGGTGGTAACCTCCTCAGTTACAACCTTCAGCGTGTCGACCACAGAGATGTATCCCAGACGTTTAGCAATTGCTAGCGCAGTGTTGCCATTCTGAAGAGAAAGAGAGAAAGAGAGGGAGAAGTGAGAGGGAGGACTGTGCTGTGAGCCAATGAGATCACCCGCAGCTCTGCATGAGCCAGCATTTCCATCCAAAACAAGGCACAGCTTAGGAAAATCACTGGTTTTTACCATTACATCTGAATCTGTCTTAGTAACTTCTTTAGACTATAGTCCCAGTCACCATGGGAACACAACATGCTTACATCTGCCTGCTATTTCTAATAAAAAAAGTATTCTAATGCTTTAACCCTGAAGTTGTCAAGTATCTCTTACAAATAATGTGTCATGACCGAAAGAATGCCTGCTAAATTTAAGGGAGTGAAACTTAGCACGTGGGAAGTTAACTTTTTCATTAGATATTACAACATCTGCTGTAGGTCCGATGTTGCCTCGGGGAATACAGTGAAATCCTTAGATACAGCTGTGCAAGAGCTCACCATGCAAATAACAAAAACAAAGAATGCAGCCTGAACCACTAGGGATTCTAGCTTAATTGCATAGGTTAATTTACATTTTAAATGGTTCCTTAGGCAATGGGACTTTGTCTTAAAACTGCAACACAGACTGAGCGACCTTAAAGCAGCCCAAGTTGTTAGAAAGACCAGAAGAGAGATGTGTTCCCACATCTGATAGCCAGCTGTAAGCAAAGCACATTCAATATGACCCAAGTGAAAGACTCACTCTCCAGAGAGGAGATGACGGAGTCAGTCAAACTGTTGTTCTCCGTCAGGCAAAAAGTTCCCACTTAACTCACTGAGCATGACTTCAGTAAAGGCTTTCTTTGGCAGCTCAACTTTGCCGGGAATTTGGTCTGCTTTACAACGATGAATTGAGGCTCAGCTATGGTATGAACCACCCCCGATGGGCTAGGGAGGATGAACAGTAGTGGGGATGCCTAAACTTTGTGTCATGGAAAGCTTACAGACCCTCTCTCAAACAAATTTTTTAAAAATTCATAGAAATACAAAGGAAATTATTTATATTAAAATACAGCTATCAAACAAAACAAAACAACAAAAACCAGTTCACAGACCACAGATTAAGAATTCCTGATAGTGATACATTTTTCTTTTCCTACTTACAGCAGTAATGGCATTTGGCTTGGCCCCATGCTGGAGAAGCACGTTGATGATGTGAGTGTGGCCTTGTTGGGCGGCTTGATGCAGAGGCGTGTAACCATTCTGGTGGTCATGGTCACCAGTTGGAAGGGGGGGGAAAGAATATTAGCTTTAATTTTGTACTTTGTAAAAATCTTCTTTGTACTGAGACAATTAAGGATGCTTTATTTCTATTCAGCAATCCATAATTCTCAGCAGCAACAGCCCCCTCATACCGTCTGGCCTAGTAAATAAAGTAGAACAGACTGTCTTATTAAACAATAAGACTAACAGTCTCTAAATATTTGCCCCCAATTGTCAGCAGAGAGGGGTGAGCAGAAGCTTATAAATGGCAAAGATAATAAGTCAGAATCTTGTGTTGTTTTTCTCCCTTCCTCACCCCCCAACCCCATCCCCTCCACCCCTCATTCCTCTCTAAGAAAAAAAAAGAGGGTAGAAACTGTTAGCTGAAGACCACAGATCATCTAATATCCAGCTGCTTTCATTGCCCTTTCTAATCATTGCTGTAAGATTTATAACAAATTTCAAGTCTAGTTTCAAAGATTCGTATATTCAGTGTCAATGAGTCTGGGTCTCATATCAAAGGCACTGGTCAAAAAAAAAAAAGCCAAGAGTACCTAGTTAAGCAATAGTCATTCAAGTGGTAAGGGGATGATGGGTATTTAGTTTGAAATGGTTTTCCAAGGCCATGTTATTTGCAACATGAGGACTAGTCTTTCAGGAAGATGAATGCCTGGGGCTATGTGCTTCATGTGGCTTCCTTGTTAAGGTTGGTATTTGTGGAATGGCCTTGAAGCCAATCCGGCTTTGATCCAACTACATAGACATTCTGGCACTGAAGGGAACAGTCAATTCAGATGTCCACATGTCATTGAATGTTATACTTGATTTGAATAGTATCTGAATCTTGGTGGGGTGGGTGGTTGGGGTGGGAGGAGAAGATTCTTCGGAAAGCTTCCAAAACTTAGAGGTAAGATGGTAGAAGCAAGAAGCGATAAGAGGTACCATTATAATGATTATCAGCCTTGCCCATTCTGGGCATAAAAGTCTGAGGATGAATACTATAATAATCGTAATCCTAACCCTAGCTCACACTTGGGGAAGCAATGCAGTATAATGCACTGTCTCTATACTCAGAGACCTGGGTTCAAATCCGACCTCTGATGTTGATTGTGTGACCTCAGGCAACTCCCTGTGCCTTAGAGACCTCTCAATTATAAAATGAGGAATCATGTGACCAAATTTTTAGAGCTAGAAGGGACTTTAGAGGCCACTCAGTTCAACCTCCTCATTTTACAGATGAGGACACTGCAGACCAGAAAGGTTAAATGACTAGCCCAGAGTCACACAGCTAGTCAATCCTAAGGCAAAATTTGAACTCAGGGCTTCCTGACTCTTAACTCTAGTGTGCCACCTGGGAGGCCTCTGAGGCTCTTTCTAGCCCTATGATGTCGATCTTCTAACCCAATATATTCAGTGTCACTGTTACCTGTATTCACATCTCCTTATTCTTTCTATACACACGCACCTAGATGGTGCCATAGTGCACAGAGCACCAGGCCTGGGATTGGAAAGACTTGAGTTCAAATCCAGCCTCAGACACTTACTAGCTCTGTGACCCTGGGCAAGTCACTTAACACCTGTTTGCCTCCATTTTCTCATATGGAAAATGGTGATAATAATAGCACCTACTTCCCAGGATTGTTGTGAGAATCAAATGAGATGATAATTGTAAAGTACTTAAATATTATATGTTGCATGTCTAGATAGAGACGTGCTAATTTCTCTATTTGGCATCAATGAGTACCTGCCTATCTGTGTATCTCTTTGGCATGGACTGGAACTCTGGTTAAGAATCTGGCACACTGGCACTATGATTAAGAGTTGTGGTGCAGGTGCCGAATGACATATAGTTATCCTAGCATGGGGGGGGTGGAAAAGGGGAGCAAGGAAGGATAAGTTATAGTTATAATGTATAAAGTACACAAGGTCTATGTTGTTACAGCATCGTATGTCATTTCATGCTGTTTTTAACAAAGAATTCACTTAAAAATGTTTGTTGAAATGAATGTGTACAAGTAAATACAGATATCTTTCATCTACGTGTTTGCTTTTTATCTACATCTCTCTCTATATATTCACACATATATAATGCACATATACACATATATGTGTTCCTCTACATATACATTTCTCTCATATAGTTTTGTATTCTTCTACATCTATATGCATTTCTACATACATGCATATATACACATACGTATGCATACATATGTATATATGTGGCATATAAGTAGTTGAAGCTGCATATAATTATTATATTTTATTAGTATAGTTATATATCATATGTTATATAATATATATTATTATATTATATATATATTAGCTCTCTAAACTATATCTTTGACATCTTTAAGCTATAAAGGTTAAGATTTTTAGGACAATCCGTATTTTACTCTTCAAGGGCACAGAGTAGGCAGGGTAAACATGATACAGTGAAAAGATCAGAGGATTTAAAACTAGATGGGACCTTACAGATCATCTAGTTTAACCCCTTCATTTTATAGATGAGAAAACTGAAGCCAAGAGTCGCAGTTGAGTGACCTGACCAAGGTCATGTTGTGGTGGGTTGGAATCTGAACCCAGGTCCTTTGAGTTTAACTCTATTCACCTGTTCACTTTGCATCACAAAGAACCGTAGCAGTAGAGATAGAGGAGATTTCAGAGATGATCTAGTCCACATTGCTTTGTATCAAATGGTGGTTAGTGGGTGAGGTGAGAGGTAGATTAGAGGTGACACAGTCACCTGGTCAGACTGCTTCCTCTTATTTCCCTCAGTATAAGCTCATCACTAGGAACCTCATTATCATTATTCAATTCCTATATTCAGTACTCTTTAGTACCCTCAGTTACTTTTCCTCTCTTATTGGAGGGCTGGAGAGTAGAGCACAAAACTCTTCCCAAAGCCTTCCTTTATAGAGAGCTCATCTCGATCGATAAACATTTATTCAGCCCTTACTTGGGGCAGCTAGGTGGTGAAGTGGACAGAGTGCTGGGCCTGGAGTCAGGAAGGTTCACTTTCCTGAGATCAGTTCTGGCCTCAGAAACTTACTAGTTGTGTGATCTTGGGCAAATCTCTTAACTCTGTTTGCCTCAGTAATAATAATACTGGCTCCCAGGATGGGTGCGCAGCTAGGTGACAGAGTAGATTAAGCACCAAGCCTGGAGTCAGGAGGACCTGAATTCAAATCTCACCTCAGACATTTACTAGCTGTGTGACCCTGGGCAAGTCACCTAACCCTGTTTGCCTCGGTTTCCTCATGTGTAAAATGAGCTGGAGAAGGGAATGGCAAACCACTCCAGAATCTTTGCCAAGAAAACCCCAAATGGGGTCACGGAGAGTCAGACACAACTGAACACAAATGCACCTACTCATGTGCCATACAACTGTGATAAACCCTAGGGATGCGAAAAGAACCAAAAGACAGGCCCTGACCTCAAGGAGCTTACAGTCTAATGGGGAAGACAACCTGTATACAGATATATACAAAGCAAGCTATATGCAAAATAATCAGGAAATAATGCAAAGAGGAGAAGCACTAAAATTAAGAGGGTTTGGAGAATGGGCCCAGGAAAAGATGGGATTTCAGTTGAGATAAAGGAAGCTCTGCTTGGTTTTTTTTGTTGTTGTTGTTTTGTTTTTAAGTTTTTTTGGTGAGGTGATCAGGGTTAAGTGACTTGCCCAGGGTCACACAGCTAGTTAGCGTCAAGTGTCTGAGGCCAGATTTGAACTCACGTTGTCCTGACTCCAAGGCTGGAGCTCTATCCACTGCCCCACTTAACTGCCCCTCTGCTTGGTTTTAACTCCAAGAACATCATGTCCCTGCGCTAGGCACCCTCTGGCACCATCACTGCCTTTTAAGAATTATCTTCCCATTAGATTGTAAGCTCCCTGAGGGCACAGATCACTTTTCTTTTTCTTATACGTATCCCCGGTGCTCAACGCAGTAACTGGCACACAACAGTGCTTAATAAATGTTTACTGACAATTAGTGACAATTAATATAGCATTTTCTTATCTTATAGGACAATAACTCACATCTATATATTTCTTTAAGGCTTTACAAAGCACTTTTCTCACAATAACCCTGGGAGGTAGTGTGGGGGGAAATGATTCATTATATTGTTCAGGATAAAATGATTAGACTGTTTAAATCCAAACTTATCTGATTAAAGATTGTCCAAACCTAGAATGTCCCTGACTCCATTGATTCTCTAGGAATGTTGGAGATGGCTATAAGGTATTTTGCGTTCCCCTAGGTCCTGGGTACGCTCAAAGCACTCTTGCTTTGGGTCACTACACCCAGGATTTACGATGGGGCCATTTTGGCTTCACACCGATTTTCTTGCACTTTTATACTTATTCATAATCTTCATCTCAATCTACCTTGTTTTCAAGTTGTCCTTTCAGTTAACTTTGTTCAAATGTATGCATGTGGTTCATGTGTGGGCACCCTTGCCTGAACCCTATATAATGCAAACCTTCCTGGGAGTTAGGGAGGGGGTGAAGTTTCTGACTTACTCTCCTCCACCCAAATGGCCAGATAAATCTGTTTCTAGAACTATTTCAGATTTTGGGTTTTGTTCTTATGAACAACAGTAGAAATATACATACAGGATGTGCCAAAAGCTTTAATAGCTTAAAACTTTCCCAATACTTTGGGGATACCCTGTATAATTAGTTTTCTGAACACATATCACTTAACCTACCAGAACCTCCATTTCCTAGTCAGTAAAGCGGGAATAATAAAACTTACACCTACTACTTCACAGAAATGTCATGAAACACTTCTAAACCTTAAAGTGCTCTATAAATGAAAGCTCTTTTATTATTACCTGTTATTATTAAATTTTTAAATGAAATGAATCCCCCAAAGCAAACATAGCATGCAAGCATCAGAGCTAGTATTCACCTACAGGTCTTCTGTTCCAAAGTCCATGACCCTTTCCATTGAACCACACTGCCTCCTCAGGTTAAGACAGAACCCCAGAATCTATCTATGAGCTATATTAGATTTAACATAACTGAGTGAACAAAATCATTATTTTTTGAAAGTATTCATAATTATGTACACCTCTAAATTAATGTCCTATCGCAGTGTAAAATAGTCATTCACTGTAGTAGATTCTCTGTGGTCTTGCCATTTCATCTGAAACAAATAGGGATTCATTCCCAAAGTCATCTGCAATGAGCATTGGAACGAGAAAGATGGCATCTTTAACTGATTTCCATTTAAACATTTCAGTGTTAATCTCCTTTTCTGGATATGGTTGGGCAGGTTAGGAGATTTTTCTTCAAATAACAGCAGGACCAAAATCAGAAACTTAAGGCCCATACATTTTTAGGGTTCAAATAGGATAATGATGACAATAATCATGATGACTACCTTTTAGTTCAGATTTTTCAGAGCAGTTCTGAAATTTCATAGAGAATCCATCTGTGGAAAAGATCATTTTACCTAAAGTTTAATCATTTTAATTTTTTTTTTAACATTTGAAGTGTTTTCAGTGCCAGGAGCTCCTTCAGTATATTTGGTTCACAGGTTAAAAAAAAAGTCTCACTATTAATTATGTAATCTCTACAACGCCTATGTCATTTGGTGGGATGCCGTGATTCTTTCAGTTAAGACTCCAATAAGACCAAAAAATATTTTCAAAAGCATCATGTCAAGGAAAAAAATGCAAAACCTCCCAAAACCTTAATTCCTTCTTCTGAATAACTCTGGGCACTTCACAGAAAGGACAGGAAGCAGGAATGCATTAATCCTTTGGAGAATCTTTAGATGCTGGACTAAGTATACACATATACATCCCTGAAGAGATATTATTCCATTTGGCACAGTAAAAATGACTCAGTTTATTTGAGAAGATTAATTATGACATTAACATTTTTTTCCTTCTAATCAAATATTTACTTGATCAGGTTAGACGCTGAGACACAGAAGCTATTATTTAATGTAATTTTTAAAAAACCCTTATCTATACTGTAACATAATTAAGTGCATTTTTAAGTATTTTTTTTAACAACAGTAAGGTGACCTACTTTGTTCCTAAGCCAAATTTTACCTCGGTAGACCAGAAGTCACTACAAAGTCACTACTGAGATGAAATAGGGGGCATGTTAAGAGAAGGTCCCAGGTTCCCCCAAAACACTGCTAAAGTAGCTATTGTGTGGCGTGGTCAATAAAATGAATATAATAATGGCTTAAGGTAGGACGGTTGAGAATTAGTATAAGAACTTTCCAGTGAACTGCACTGCAGAATTTCAAGGGTGCTTAAAGAAGTAATAGATTTGGATCCTAATTAAAAGTCCATTTTCCCATAAAAACTTTTCTAAGAACCAAGTAGGGGAATGGGACATCTCTGAGTTTGTGATTACCACAAACTGTCTTTTTGTTTTTCTAGTGTAACACCATCTGTGAAAGGGAGTGTCAAAGCATTTTGGAGATTAAAGACAATGTTCTTTGAAACCATAATATTTCTTGCTTCAAGTTGGCCAAGTTGCTGAGCACCAATATTCAATTCTATATCTGTGTCTCTGAGTTAATTGGGAAGGAGGGAGAGGGGGGCATTTCTAGGTAAGTTTTCTTTTCTAGTTGGCCTGTAAATATAGGTTTGAAAATGGGCATATGTGTGTGTATGTGTGTATATATGCAAAAAATGCACACATAGACACACATGTATATAGATATACATACATACTCATATGTATATACATGCATATATTCATGCATACATACACACCTCTGTCAATGGGCATAGATGTGTCTATATGTGTATGTGTTTCTACTTCTTCTAACAGGATATGTGAAGAAACTGATTCACAGAACTGCAGGAATTAATTATATGCTGAAAGTGGAATGCAAAAAATTATAAGTTGATGAATTTATTTATTTGGTTTTAAATAGCTGGGGGGTTGAGAATTCTCATATGGGAACTTTCACAAAATAGAATACAAATAAATATGTTTGGAATGAAGAGCTACATAAAGCCTCCTAATTTGTCTCCTTCAATCAGGTCTCGCCACTCCAAGCCATCCTCCACACTGCAGCTAAAGAAGTTTTTCTTAAGTATGGATCTGACCAAGGACTTCTCTACCCAACCAATTCTAGGGCCTTCACATTGCCTCTTGCATGGTGGTTCTCCAGCTTCTTAGTCCAGATACCTCTTTATGAAGTTAAAAATTATTAAGGACCCCAAAGAGCTTTCTTTTTTATGTTGGTTATATCTGATGATAGTTATCATATTAAAAATTAAAACATTTAAGTATTATTACGTAAATAGTCTTGTCTTAATGGATCCCTGCAAAGTATCTTGGTGATTCCCCATGGTCACTGGACCATAATTTGAGGAGTATTGCTCTACGATAGAGTAAAAACTCCTCTGTTTAGTTTTTAAAGCTTTATACAAATGGGCCTAAATTTATATTTCCATCCTCACTGAACTTCACTCTCTTTCCTGTACTCTAGAATCCAATCAAACCAGCTTTTTCTATTCCACCTCTCATCTCTATGCCTTTTCATTGGCTATTCTCCATCCCCAGAATGCTTGCCACCCCTTCATGGAGTCCTCTTTCTTTAAAATGCAGCTCAGACAACATCTTCTGCATCAAGCCTTTCCAGATCCCCCCAACTACCAGTGCTTCCCTACCCTCCCAAACATCCTTATACTTGGTACATATTTGTCTTTATTCCTTTTATATCTATGATACATGCATGCATACATATATATACATATATATATACATATATATACATATATATATATACACACACATATGCACACATATATGCACATACATCTATGTATGTGTGCATGTATATATATATATATATATGTATATGTATATATATATACGTATATATACACATATGAGAGAAAGAGAGAGAGAGAGAATGTTGTTCACTTGTTCAGCCATATCAGATTCTTTGTGATCCTGTAAACCATAGTAAGCTAATATTGCCCATGGGGTTTTATTGGCAAGAATATTGGAGTGGTCTGCCATTTCCTTCTCCAGTGGATTAAAGAAAACAGAAGTTAAATGACTTGCCCAAATCACACAGCTAGGAAGTATCTGAGGCCATATTTGAACTTAGATCTTCCTGATAACAGCCTATATTTACTGACCCCCCTAGGTGCATCTATATGTATGTGTGTGTGTGTAGGAGTATATACACACCTACACACACATATATATTAACTGTGTGTGCTTGGCACCTGCAGGGGCTTAATCAATACTTGATTCTGCACAGTGCTAGTTAATTATTGAGGTGGTGATTTTTTTTTCTATTTGAGAGTACTGCATTGATATGCTTAATTAGTTGTTTTGAATAGGGCTTTTTATACGAAAATTTCAAGAAATGATTGAGGTTAAGGGGGCAGCATGACACATGTTAGAATTGCTGTGAAGAAAACTAGGTTTTCTCTCTGCACTGTGTGACCCTGGAAAAGATATGTTATATCTCAAGATCCCAAGGAAATGCTTTAAAATTAGAATACGATTTTCAAAAAAGATGAAAAGTTATGAGCATCAAAGCCTAGTCATACCTGGAGGAAAAAAGACCCAACATATACTCTCTACATCATAGGGCTATTAGGAGGTTCATAAGAGAAAATCTAGGTAAAGCATGTTGGAAACCTTAAAATATTCTATAAATGCCAGTGATCATTGTCATCTCTGTCTTATACTTCAACTTCTTGCTCAGACTTAACGTGTCACTGCTTCATCAAATATGTCTATAAGATGATTCCTAGTGTGACATGACCCACTAAATATGAAAAGGAGGCATTCTAGGCTTCTAGAATGTATTTTGTAATGGGAAAAGGGGCTTGACACAACACGGAATCTGCCATAACATTCTCCCACTTGGATCTATTTCAAGTAGTTACTCTACCCCAGAGTTTAATGTTAAGTTTTGTCCATTATGTATCTTCTTTAGAGCTAGAGCATTAAGGAACCTCCTAGCTAATGAAACTCCTTGGAATGAAAGCAGACAAGCTGCAAATATTAATATTTAGAAACCCATGTTAGAAATGTACAGACCAAAAATGAAAAAAACCCTCTCTTCTCTCTGGAGGTAGTGAAGAAGTAAGTGCCATATGATTGAATCATTTATCCAACTACAGTGGGGGGGAAAAGGGACCTCTCCAAGAATTTTACCTTGGTTTTTGCATTGACATTTGCTCCTTGCTTCAGAAGAAAGTTGACCATTTTTACATTTCCGTAGTGGCAGGCCACAATCAAAGGAGTATAACCAAGCTATAATTGGCAAAGAAAAAAAATTAAGTACTCTGAATGTTTGACAAGACTTCAAATTCAAAATATTTTTAGATCAGGTGGCAGAAATAATAAAGAAAAGCTATCATCAGTCATTGCAGGAGAATAAAAGTCAAGTATAAGTTTTCTTTGTTCCTCCAACCTGAAAATGGGAATCCTGTAATATGCCCCATCATCATCCTTTGATTTACCTTAGTCTGAGCATCCTTGTTGGCACCATGCTTAGTAAGGATTTCAGCAACATTCACTTTATCCTCTTGAGCTGCAAGATGCAAGGATGTCAGTCCACTCTAGAGGACAAAAGAAAAATAGAAATATTAAGCAAGACAGGGGATTTGGTTTCTTAAATGTAGTAACTCAGAAAATAAACTCTTGAAACTGTCAAAGTTATGTGCTTGAGAATATCATAAGCAGAAGATGCCCGTTAATTAAAGAATGGCTGAAAAAGTTATGATATATGTTTGGGATGTGATACAATGGTGCTATAAGTAATGACGAGCAGGATGCTTTCAGAAAAACCTAGGAATATTTACACGAACTGATGCAGAGTGAATTGAGCAGAACCAGGAGAACATTGTACACAGTAACTGCAATATTGTACAATGATCAGCTGTGAATGACTTAGCTATTCTAAGCAATACAATGATGTAAGAAAATTCCAAAGGATTTATGAAACAAAACGCTATCCACTACGAAAGAAATAATTGATGAAATCTGAAGGCAGATTGAAGCATACTTTTTTTTTTTTACTTTCTTATTATTCTTGGGGTTTTTTTGTCTGCATTTTCTTTTGCAACATGGCTAATATGGAAATTTTTGCATGACTGCACATATATAATCTACATCAAATTGCTTGCCTTCTCAAGGGAGGGAAAAAATTTGGAAATAAATATTTTTGAAAATGAATGTCAAAAAGCTTTTACATATAATTGAGAAAAAATAATAAAATAAAATAAGAGAATCTCATAAGTAACATCCCTCCACTTTCAAGTTGAATGTCTTGATTAGCAAAAAGCAACACCTTTAACAAACATTGTGCATTTTCTGCATGTGCCATTTATGGTATCATTGTGAAACTTTAAAATAGCTCTGTTAATGAAGCTATTAAACAATCCTCATCTCAAATCCATCTGGTTCACACTTGATCTATTTATTCACTTAAATAATTAAGAAACAAAACCTGGCTTACATTTTTTATAATTACAGGAATAATTAATAAAATTGCCATGTCAGCATCAACAATCAAACACAATGGCAGGAAATTAGTTTAGAAGAATACATACGTATGCTATAACTGGGAGCTATAATGGACAAGACTTTGTAAGTCAGTGATGTCAAACTCAAATGGAAATGGGGACCAATTAATCTGTACAGAAGGATTCCTGTGGGTTGCATACTGACTTAATTTAAAATGTGATGTTATTTGTTTCATCGTATTTTTATTTATTTTGTTAAACATTTCCCAATTACATTTTAATGTGGCTTGGGCTGCAATCAGGAAGTTAGTACACATTGTGGCCTAGGTACCATGTTGGCCAACTATGGTCTAAGTAACAGAAGGGGTTACATCTGTTACTGGAAGTAAGGACACAAGCATTTATTAAGTAGGCTAAGTGCCAGGTACTGTTCTAAATGCTTTAAATATCTCATTTGATCCCCACAACAACCCTAGGAGGCAGATGCAATTATTATCCCCATTTTATAGTTGAGGAAACTGAGGCAGGCAGTTTTAAATGATATGCCCTGAGTCACATGGCCTGTGGTCATATCTGAAATCAGGTCTTCCCAATTCTAGGCCCAGTACTCTATCCACTGTGCTAACTAGTTGCCTGGAAGAATAACTACGTAGATGAAATCATGTGTCCTTGAAATGATGATGGGGTAATTGATCATTTAGTATCTAAGAAAATGATTATTTTAATAGCATTTCTGACAAGTGCTGTTTACCAGTGAGATAAAAAGTAAAGCTAAAATGTTCTCTTTATCCTCAATGGGTCTACAATTTAGTAGGAAGGTAAAACACTAATACAGTTTGCTATATTACCAAATATTTTATAAGAAGTAAGAAGTACATAAAATGTTATAAATCAAAGAACTATGTAATGTCTGAGAAGGATGGTCTTTATAGACTGAAGGATCTGGTAGGGCTCCATAGAGGTGGTAGCATTTGAGTCGAACATGAAAAGAGTGGATAGATTTAAGCATGCTATTAGTACTTCAAACTGGAAATAATGATAAAGGAAAAGATATCTAGATTATTATTATTTCCCGTAGGGGCATCTAGGTCACACATGGATAGAGTACTAGGCTTGGAGTCAAGAAGTCTTCTCTTTCTCAGTGCAAATCTGCACTTACTAGTTGTGTGACCTTGGGCAAATCGCTTACCCGTCTCTGCCTCAGTTTCCTCATCTGTGAAAAGAACTAGAGAAGGAAATGGCAAACCACTCCAGTATCTCTGCCAAGAAAACCCCAAAAGGGGTCACCAAGACTCAGACATGACTGAACAATATTTCCCATAGCAGTTTAACTGACATAAAATAATATTAACAATAAGAAAGGTGAAAGAACTCAGACAGTTTTGTCCAGAAAACATTTGATCTCTACAAAATGGAAAGCCACAGCAGACAATGGAGAAACTAATCTCAGATAGAAACTCTTTTGTATAATATTATGAAAGATCATGGTGGAAGGTATGAGCAAGACAGAGTGGTGAGGAATGGAAGAAAGAAAACAAGTCTGAAGATAATTTGGTAAGAGATTCAACTAAGCCAAACCATCCTCAAAGCACTTACAGATGAAACTGGAATGAGAAAAACAAACAGATGAAAAACAGAACAGAACTACCAACTGTCTATTATGATCTATTTTCAGCACTGGTAACAATGCAGGGACAACATTGGGACTCTAATACCTCAGTGCCTGTTGTGCTATATAAAGAGACAGAAATGCTGGAGAAAATAAAATTAGCAAGAACTGCTGCAATAGATGAAGTACAAACAGAAAAAAAATCTATTTGTGAACATGATTGAACATATATATATATATATATATATATATATATTATATATATATATTATATATATATATATACAACGTGTTTTGAACACAATGAACAATATAATTTTTAAAGATTTGGGGGGTCAATTTTCAAGCTATCTGAAAGAGGGGAAGAAGGCAGTAGATGATTAGAAGAATTAATGGTGGGCATTACCTTAAAAAGACAATTAAGACGACTTCATCTATCAAGCTATGGCAACTTTGTCATCTTTATAAAAATTTTTTCTGAGATTGATCTATATACATACTGAGTGTATCCTTGATGAAAATATAAGAAAAAATCTAGAAGGCTTTAGCCGATGATTTTCTACAATATATCAAATTTTAGCAGTCATACAACTCATAGAAAGATATTAAAATTACAGAATCATTATATTTATTTTTAGTTAATTATGTTTTAAAAAATTCACTCAGAAGAACAAAATGGCCTTAAAATATCTTCTACAAGTTGTCTTTCAAGAATAAGGTAAAATAATTTGAAATTTGCAGTATGCAAATTCAAAAGAATTTGAAATATGCAGCCATAGAGGAAACTTTATTCATCAGTGTTCTAATTATTATTTGAAATGAGGAATAAAATGGGGAGAAGTATGTTAACTAAAAGAATTTACATCCACTTTTGTGCATATGAGAGCTCAGAGGATATCCAGTACAGAGTTCAAATGGAAGGATTCCCTCCAGATGGTAAATTCCTTCAGATGTTCTCATTTGCAAATGATGTAGTGGTGATTGCATCAAGAATCAGAGTATTATAGAGCTTCTTCAATAAGAACCCCAGGTACTATAAAAATATTAGCCTAACAGTCCTTATGGGTAAATCCTACATATGAAGAAAACCTATCATTCAGACAACGACACATAACTGAATGCGCAGTCATTTCATCGATAGCTGTATTTGGACAGATACTGCTGGTGGAGTAAAATCGGGGCCCAAAACTGACATAAAGGAAGGGAGTGGACAAGACTGTATTTGGTAATTCTATAATGTTTGTAATGATCCCAAGCTGCTTCCTGGTGTAAGTATTGACCTTTTTAGTTCCAATGTCCTGGTGATGTTGTATCAGCAAAACATGGGCAACCATCACTTCCCAAGTATTGAAGTCATAGGAAACCCACAGGGCAATGGAGAAAACTATAGTGGGGGCAAATAGGATATTATTAATGAAAACTTGCACACAAGAAATTGTATAAAATATAAATTAGAATGTGTGAAGTCGAGAAAAAGGTAAAGAGAAAGCAAGCAAGGAAGAAAGGATGGGAGGAAGGAAGGATGGATGGATGGACGAATGAACTTATTAAGTATTAGCACACAGTGCTTTATAAATATTATCTCATTTGACTCTCACAATAGCCCTGGGAGGGAGGCATTATAATTATGTCCATTTTATAATTGAGGAGATGAAGGCAGAACAGAATGACTGTCAATTTCTTTATCTGTAGAAAGAAGGCATAACACACAGGCAGATAGGCAGCATCCTTGGTAGAATGCTCGACTTGCAGTCAGTAACACCTGAAATCAAATCCTTCCTCAGACACTTATCAGACACGTAAATCTGGGAAAATCACTTAACTCCTCTGAGAGTGAGTTGATTGGCTTCAAAGGTTCTTAAATGCTCTTCCAGTTTTAAGGCGATGATTCTATGATTCTTCCAGACCTAACCCTATAAAACTATGAGAACTGCACAGGATGAGAAGGCAAGCATGGATGGTTTACCTATGCCATGGACAAAGGGCTTTGCAGAGTACTACCACCAAAATATTTCTCACCTAGTGGCTGACCTAGTAATGAGCCTCTCAACATTGAGTTAGGTCCACTGCTGGATCTGAATAGAATGATTTTTTCAATGTATTACGATGTAATAGAGCTTTCTTTCTATTGGATTTCCCTGTGAGATTACTTCCCACTTACAGTGTTTATATCTCATATTTATATAGTGGTTTGCACATTTCTTCCCATCAGAATGTTAGCTTCTTGAGTACAGGAGCTGGTTTTTTTTTTTTTTTTTGCTTTCACTTGTATCCTGCTCCTGGCACAGAGTAAGCCCTGAATAGATGCTTACTGATTGACTGACTTGCTCCCACAAATCAGTTTCATCTCCATGTGTGCCTCTTGTAGTCTTATATGAATGTACTCTAAACTTGTATGAACTATTTTGACTATTTCATGCAGTTTAAAACTGTATTAACCATGTAACACATACAAATGAAATCAGACATTGAACAAAGTACGTATGTGTACGTGAATATGCATACATACATGCACATAATTGTATTTGTATATATGCGTACATGTACATGTGTGTGCATGTGCTTGTACATATCATCTAGTTTTGTTGTTGTTGCTTGTCCTTCATTCTCGAAGGGATCCAGTGGCCAGATATAGATCAGGACAACTGGAGATGGCCCTCTATTTTTAAATAGATAATACATATACACATAGACATATACATATCTATGTAAGTAAAATAGGTGACATATACACATAGATGTGTACATATCTATGCATGCCACATGCACAGAATACACAATCGTGTATGTATGTATATGTTAGATATATAGATATATATGTAATTTGTATACAGATTATATTACACATACATATTTATATCTGTCCTTTTACTGGCAGCCTCTTTTTGTTCAATCAATGGCAAGAACAAATTACCTTAGTTGACATGTGGATGTTGGAGCCTTTATCCAGGAGCAGGGTTACCATATCAGTATGGCCTTCCTGAGAGGCCAGATGAAGTGGAGTGACCCCTTGCTTTGTCACAATGTTGGTCTCTGCTCCATAGTTCAGTAATGTAGTAGCAATCTGCATCTGATTCTTCTTAGCAGCAATATGCAAAGGAGTGTAGCCATTCTAGAGAAGGAAAAGCAACATATGGTTAGCCTTTCTATAAACAGGCATAATCTGAAGTCTCTTAAGATCAAAGATCTTGAACTGGATGGGACTTCAGAGGGCTCTAGTTCAGTCTTTTCATTTTATAGATGAAGACATCAAAGCCCATAAAGGTTATATAGCTTGCCCAACAATGCACAGGGGCTAAGTGATAGTACATGGTTTTAAGCTTGAATATTTTAATTCTAAATTTTTCTAACATATCACATCTTCTACATTCATATAGTTCAAAGGGGAAAGAGACCTTAAAATCATTGAATCCAATCAATCATCCCAAGGAGAAGTTCTTTCTACAGTCTTCCTAAGAAAATAACCAACCAAGCTTCTGATTAACTACTTCTATAATAGGGATACCACTACTTATTGGGAGATCCATTTCACTTTTCGACATTTTTAGAAAGAGACATTTTCTTCCTTTATTGGGTTAGAATCTGCTTCCTCACAACTTCTACTCATTAGTACTAGCCTTTCCCTCTGACACAACACAAATAAAGTCAGATCTCTTGTCTACCTCAACAGCCATTTTAATATTTGAATATACTGATCACGTATACTTTTATTTTTAATTTCTCTTCCAGGCTAAATAATCACCAGTTTCCCCAATGGTTCCTTTTATGACAGGCCCCTCAACATTCCGATTTCCATCCTCTTACAACATAGTGAATAGAACTAAAGCCAGTACTCTAGATATGGTCTGATCAGTGCAAAGAATAGTAGGATTATTATTATTTATCATTAAGTGTACACCGTGCTTATATCAATATTTGCTCACATTTCTAGAACACTTAATAATTATAAAATATTTTTCTCATGAAAATTCTACCTTGGGTAGTAAAGCTATTTCCAGATGAGTAAACAGAAGTTTCAACTGGTAAAGTGATCTGCTCAAGCTCAAATAATTGGTGACTGTGCCTATATTAGAACCTGAAACTTCTATGTCTTAGTTTAATGATCTTTCTACTATATTATACTTCCTCTTGTACATGCCAATGGAGATCAAAAGTATATTAACTATTTTAGTACCCGTATGACAATTTAGGTTAAATTAAGCATGTGTTCAACTAAAACGACCATTTTTGTTTTAGTTAAGGATACATATATACGTACATATACAAATATATATACACCTATACATTTATATACACAAATGCACATATGAAATATTATAGAAGACTATACTACATAAGTAAAAAGAGTGATATAGTTAATCTTTTTTTATTTTTTTTATAGGCAATTGGGGTTAAGTGACTTGCCTGGGGTCACATTGCTAGTAAGTGTCAAGTGTTTAGTCTGACGCCAGATTTGAACTCAGGTCCTGCTGACTTCAGGGCTGGTGCTCTATCCACTGCACCACCTACCTGTCCCCAGTGAATCTATTTTTAAAAAATGATTTAGTACACTTATAAAAGGAAGTCATGATCAATGAGTTGATGGCTTCATAATAAACTAGCCAAACTAATTTTATTTCCTCTTTTTTTTTTTGACAATTACTAAGTAGATAGATTGGGGGAAGGGGTTCCATAGACAGAAGTAGACAAAGATTTCAATACCCTAACCTTCTATAATTATGTAGCTTTTTTGTACAAACATATGAAACACATAGATTTTATCATGTGAAAACATTTGACAGAGTCTCTTAGGTTATTTTAGAAGTGTCATGGAGATTCAGAACTAGTTGAATGATAGAACTGAAAGAATAGTGATTCATTATTTTCATAGTTGCTGGGGCCCACTCTTTGCTGGTGGGCTGTTTTGTTTACTGCATGTTCTAATGCATGAAGTGACTGAATCTTGAAAAGGAGTCTCTAGTGGAGTGTTTCTAAGATCTGTCCTTGGATTTCTGTTGTTTAACAACGACATAAATGACTTGTATGAAGCAAGGATAAATCTGTAGACGATGCAAAGCTTGAAGGAAAACTAACACACTGGATGACAGGAGGATCCGAGAACGTCCTGACAAGCTGTTATGAAGGGGAAATTTAAGAAGAATAAATGTAAAAGACTTCAAAAAATCAACTATAAAAATAAAAGTTCAGAGAGGCCTGACAAAATGAGAGTTCAAGTGAATTGACCTAAAGGTATTAATGAATTGCATAATGAAAATGAGGCAATATTGTGATAAAGAGCTATCAGAAAATGTAAAGCTCTACCTTAGGCTGAATTGAGAAAGGAAACGTACAGAATGAGGGAGGTTCATAATCCTACTATATTCTGCCATTATCAAACTACCGCTAGAGTATCATATTCAATTCTGGATACACCACATTTTGGGGAGTACACTAACTGGAGTGGGGACAGAAAAAAAAGAGACTAGTAAGGCAAAAAGACTGGAGATCCTACCATATGAAGTTTAGTTAAAGGAAATAGTCATCTTTAACTCAAAAGAAAACTTTGGGGCATATAATAGCTGACTTCAATTATGTGAAGAGTTTTTCCATGGGATATTATGATAGCCCTTCTTGAACCAGCAAGTCATAATAATGGTAAGAAGTTACAGAGGAGGCAAATTGGAGTTCAATATAGGGATAATTTTTTTCCCCTAAAAATTAGAGCTGTCCAAAAGCTGAATGGTCTAAAGCCACTGACTGGGGACATTATAAAAGGGATTATTCCTAGGCAACTGGGAAGTCTAGTGGGTGGAGGGCTGGACTTGGCATGAAACAGAAATGAGCTCGGATTTTGCCTCTGACACTAACTTATAATCCCAGGCAATTCATTTAACTTCTCTCTTCCTCAGTTTCCTCATCTTTAAAATGGAATCATAAGTGTACCTATTTCAGACAGTTGTTGTGAGCATCAGATGAGATAATAAATACCAGTGAAACTCCTTGTGAACCTGAAGGTGCTTAAGTTGGCTGTTATTATAATTATTATTACTACAATATCATTGAATTGCTTCATGGGTCCAACTTTAAGATATTTTAAATGTGTACAATATAACATAGTCATTTTCCTCAAAGAAAATAGTTCCCTATAGGAACTAGCACGATTGGTATTTTTTCACCTAATTGGCCCATGATAATTATTTGTTGATTTTTTAACTATTTTCCTAGTTGATGATTGAGTTTATTGCATCAAGCCCTGGCACACTGAAAAAGTTCCTAAATAAAATCCATAATCACTCATAAGAGCTTGGCCTATCTTTCCACATACTAAAAATTAAGAGAATGAAAAATATCTATCATCCACACTATAATATGTACCTTATGGTGGGCCTAGAGGTCTGGCCCATTAGTACATACATCTCAGAAACACACTGCAGATGGGCAGAAAACCGAAGTGAGAATTGAATGAGAGTGCAGAGAATGCGGTGGATTTCATTTGAAAGATTATGTAGTGCTTTCATTTGAAAGATTATGTAGTCCTTTCAATGATTCCAAGGATTTTCCCTCAAACAAGACTCCATGATATTAACATCAATATTCTTCTGTTGATGCTAGATAGCTACAAATTATGGAACACCATATCTTCAAGGATTTAGAATTGTGGGGAACACAAAATTCAATGGAGAGATGAACAGCAGGCATCATTGGGCTGTATCATATTCCAAATGATGAATCACAAATTAAAAAGCTGAGTACAGGAGACCATCTAAGAGTATGTGCATGGTCAGAAAAAATTCGATTGGTCATGGAATGAAAACAAGGGATAAAAAGATAGATAACAGCATCATAATCTGCATTATACATGGGATGGATCTTTTGTGGATAATTTATAGGAGAACATAGAAAAGAATTCCAAAGGATGAAGGAAGAGAGGATGGGTTGTGATCGCTACCTGTTGGAAAGACCACCTATATCAATAAGACCACAGATCTATTAAAACAGCAGGAATGGTCAGATTGGGAAAATAATGATTTAAAAGATCAGTTAGGCAATTATTTTTAATTAGTATAAAATGACCATTGATACATTCACTCATCTAACAAATGTTTATTGGAGGTATGCCTTGTAAGGCACTGTGATGGATAAAAAATGATTAAGAAGCCCCTTATTCCAAGGATGTTAATGTCAAGAAGATATCATAAAATAATGCGATAAGAAAAAAGGGTGTATATAAGTGTATGGTCCTGAAACCATGATGCAAAATAGAATGTAAGTGACAGTGTTATTTAATGAAAAGAGCACAGACTTGGTGTTAAGCTCAACACTAGGGGTGGGGAACCTGTGGTCTCGAGGCCACATGTGGCCCTCTGGGTCCTCCAGTAAGGCCCTTTGAATGAATCCAAACTTCACAGAACAAGTCCTTTTATAAAGGAGATTTGTTGTAGTGTCTACACTATCAGCTTTGAGAACCCACTGCTGTCTGTAATCATTAAATAAAGTGGAAGATTCAGGTATATGATTTAATAAAGTGGCTGAGGGTAGAGTTATAGCTTGGAGACGAATCTTGTTCACCTACAGGCTGAACTAGATAGACCCAGGGTCTCTTCCAACCATAAGATTTCTATAATTCTGGAACCTATTTTTCATCATTTATAAAATCCATCAAGGAAAGGTGGTCACTATGGTATACATTTATTTCAGAGTGCATAAAAATGAAAAAAAAATAGTGACAATGAATGAGAGGCTACAGTTTAGCTGAAGATCTCACTAGGTATGAGAAGAAAATCTAATTGACTTTTAAATGTTGGTAATAGATTTTGCCATAGCTAAACCTAAATTCGGGTTGTTTCCTCTAGGACCAAATACAAAATGCTCTCTCTCTTTTTGGCATTCAAAGCCCTCCATAACCTAGCCTCCTCCTACCTTTCTAGTCTTCTTTTACTTTATTCTCTGACATGTACTCTTCAATCCAGTAACACTGGCCTCCTGTCTATCCTATGAACAAGACATTCTATTTCTTAGCTCTGGGCATTTTCTCTGCCCAGAATGTTTTCTCTCAACTCTACCTTGGCTTCCTTGAAATACCAGCTAAAATCTTCTGTTTTATAGGAGGCCTTTCTCAACCCTTCTTAATTCTAGTGCCTTCCCTCTGTTATTTCCTATATCCAACCTGTAGACATCTTGCTTTGTATGTATATTTACATATTGTCTCCCTCATTAGATTGTAAGCCCTTTGAGGGAAAGGACTGTCTTTTGCCTCTTTTTGTATCTCCAGCACTTAGCATAGTACCTGGCATATAGTAAGAACTTAATAAATGTTTATTGATTTAGTTAAAATTCAAAAGTGAAAATTTAAAACATTAGGTTTTTTTTTTTTGGAAGAGAAATGCACCTCCAAAGTAACATATAGAGAAAGTAAAGAGATTTCCATTTTTGAATAAAATGTTATTTTTAGGGATGTATTTGGAATTTCAACTCATTGACTTTGTTCTGTGAAAATTCTTTTATAGTAAATGTCAGCTAATACTCTACATTATATTTTCTTTGCTACATTCAAACCATAGCATGTGAAAGTTGGAAGAAATCTTAGAGACTAGTTATTCTGATCCACTCATTTTACAAATGTGGAGGAAACCAAAGCTCAGAAAGATGAGGTAATATGCAAGAATTGCCAAGATCAGATGATTAAACGGGGGTCTGGGGAAGAGAGGGGTATAAGAAAGGGTGAAGCAGGGATGGCTCCAAAGTTTCGAACATATGTAGATGAGAGAAAAGCAGTGTCATTAATAAAAATAGGGATATGGGGAAGAAAAGCAGTTTTTGGAGTGGAAAGAGATATATGTCACTGGAAATATCATTTAGGGAGTTTGAAAGATAGATCTGGACCTTAGAAAAGAGGTCAGCCCTGGAGACACAGCTTTGAAAGTCATCTGTTTAAAGGTGATAGCTGAAGCTACGAGAGCAGATGAAATCATTAAGAGAGAGTATAGAGAGAAGATGACTTAGAGTTTAAAATAAAATCTTGAGACAAGCTCAAATTTATCAGGAGCAGATAACTTACCCTAAGCTTTTCCCTTTACTTTTAAATTTAAAAAAATTCAATTTCATGGGGAAATCACTGTCCTAAGGCTTAATGAGATCTATATTTTAGTAGTTCGTACCACATATATAGAGAAAAATCTCACTCTGCTCAGGGAACTTTATTCCTCTTTAAATTCAAAAGATAATATATTCTTAAGAGAATATCTGAGATCATGCAACCAAAAAGTAAATTTGAGGCCATGGGTGGCTGGAGGGCAAAAGTCACTAATGGTTTTTATGTAAGTTTCAATTTACTGCATTTCATATATAAGTTCTCAAATCAGGGTTATGATCCTGAGAAAAATGAAAGGTCCTTGAAGGCAAGGATCCATTTTTGTCTTTGCATCTTTAACTCTTAATACAGTGTTCATAATCAATGATGTTAAATTGAACTGAATCATAATCATTCAATCTATTAAGTTGGAGTAAGAAAAATCTTCTCTGGTCAATGACAGCTCTGCCTTTTTCAATAGTTGTTAAATGTCTTAGGGATTTTAAACTATTAAAAGTTAAGACCTGAAGGGGGAAAAAAGGAATACTTTCAAACATTGTAACTAGACCTACATAGAGTTTCACTGTGTTGTATATGCTTAAACCCCAACCCCCCCATTCCTTCTGATCACAAATCAACCCAATGTGTCTGGATCAATTTACATGACCTACAAAAAGCAGACCCATTGACATGTTAGGGCATAGTTAGCCACAGCAGACATCTCACCTTGGCAGTGGCATGAGGAGATGCACCTTTCTCCAGTAACAGCAGCGCCACCTTCTGGTTGTCATAATGAGCAGCAACATGGAGTGGGGTGAGGCCATTCTGTAAAGGGTGTTTTTAAGTTGAGCATTAAAAAAAGATGGTTGTTAGCTGGAAGGAAGCTGCCAGGAGTCATTAAGAAAAATAAAATTGATACTGATTAACTTCATGTTAATAGATTAACCAAAGGACACAGTGAACTAAAGAGAAGAAAAATGAACAATTACAGAATTATTTTTGTATTAGAAACTTCATCTGAAACCTAAAGATAGGCACAATGAAGCACAGCATACCTTACTGAGAAGCAACTAAAGAAACCAACAGATGTTACTTTTTATTATAAACCAAAGAATAAAAACGTGAAGCTGGAACCACCAAGGTTTCTGTTACCTTGGAGCTTTGGCAAAATAAGACATCTCCCTCCAATATCAGCCCATCTTACAATGTTTGTTTTTCAATTTGTTTGATAAAAAAAAAAAACTTGAAGGGTCTACAATAAAAAGTCCATAACACTGGTATGAATTGTCAAAGTAATGAATAGATGGAGACACTGCTGTATAGACAGATAGTATAAATTGGTTTCTCTATCTCGATGTGGATGGACACAAATGATCCTTTATCATACAGTTTCTTCTACAATTTAATCTGCTGCATGTTTAGAGTATAAATGACATTTAATCACCACATGGTCACAGTATCTCTAGACTTCTTATTCTTCCAACATATCCCATGCCCAATAGCTTTACCTTGCCAGCAGAATCCGGGGAAGCACGGCGTTGAAAGAGCAGTTTTGCCACATCTAAGCTTCCATATTTTGCAGCTACATGCAATGGTGTAAATCCCTTCTGAAAATGTGAAAGAGAGCAGGGTTGGGGGGTAGGAAATGGAATTGTTACTTCAGCGACTTCTAGACAAGTCATTTAAAAAAAATAACCTGACCCAAATGATGACTCTAAAATGGATTTAGGAAAAGAAAGGTAAACATAATTTCCATTACCAATAAACAAGGACTAAGAAAAGGAAAGAAGCTTATCATAGAAAGATCAAGATAAACTTGGATTTGCAAGAAAAATACATATTTCAGAATAAACTTAGAAAACTAAATTTTGACTTTTGATGTTTGTACACTCTAACAGAATTTGACATGTATTTAGTGCCTATTGTGTGCAAAACATGGGTATAAATAAGAATAACATCTAGCATTTATATAGTACTTCATGGTTTGCAAAGTGCTTTACACATATTATCTCATTTCTGACCCTCACAACTCTGAGAGGTAGTTGCTAATATCTCTGTTTTATAAATGTAGAGACTGAGGCTGAAAGATTAAATGACTTGCCCAGGGTCAGTAGAACCTTCTTGAGAACAAATACACTAAAAAGAAAAAGATGGAGAATAATTCCATATTTTGCCACAACTAATAACCATCTGAGGAAGGATTTTAACTTAACCCTACCTACATATTCATAATTAGTACAGATGAAATAAAACTATACTTATCTTTTTCTTGGCTCATGAATCCAAAAGGATTGTGTTCATGGATGCTTAGCCTCATTCCTTCTCTCTATTATGCCTACCATTTCCTTACTTTTTTCATTGGGGATTTCTCTAGTCAAGGTTTTATATTTTTAGTGGCAAGGGCAAAGAATACTTTAATTATTTATCATGTTGTTGATTTATATTTTCAGGGGATATGACTAGTGAAGTGGTCTGCAGAACAAGATGATAAAAATATCCTGCATCAGCAGCATCCTCCATCCTGGCTGGCTGATTTTCCTCTTTCCCAGAAGAGCAGTACTATGTCTACAAGCTGATTCCTTCATAAAACACATTCAACTTCTGTCAAAATACAGGGTTAATTAAGGCCAGTCTGTTAAACATGGTGATATCTTGAAAAGATTTTTTAAGCCTACTTTCAACTGAATGGCAAATAGTCTTCAGTAAACATGTTTGTAAATACACACAAAAATGTAATTTTATATTTCTAATCAATCGGCACCCACTGTAATGAACATTGTGTTGCAATGTAGATAGATATGTAGCCTGAGATAACAGCTACTTCCCACAATCTGAAACCGTCATCCTGGAGTTGCAGTGAACTAGTCTCAAGAGAGTCCAGTAGTCATACCAATCAAACTACCAAAGATTTTGTAGAGCTAGAAAAAAAAAATAATAAAATTCATCTGGAAGAACAAAAAGTCAAGGACATTCAAGGGAACTAATGAAAAAATATGAAGTTGGCCTAGCAATACCAGATTTCAAACTATATTACAAAATGGTAATCATGAAAACAATCTAGTGCTGGCTAAGAAATAAAGTGGTAGATCAGTGGAGTAGATTAGATACATAATACAGAATAATAAATGATCACAATAATTTAGTGTTTGATAAACACAAAGATCCAAGCTTTTGGGGTAAGAACTCACCATTTGACAAAAATTTGCCGGGATAATTGGAAAGAAGTTTGACAGAAAGTAGGCACAGACCAACATTTCATTCTGTATACCAAAACAAGGTCAAAATTAGGGAAGCATGGAAAAATGATCTATGAATCTATGGTTAATGGAAGAGTTTAAATGAGAGATAGAGAGGATCATTGAAAGTAAAATGAATAATTTGGATTGCATGACCTTTAAAAGTGTTTGCACAAACAAAATGCAATGCCACCAAAATTAGAAGGAAAACAGGAAACTGAGGGAAAAATTACAGCAAATTTCTCTGATAAAAGCTTTATTTCTAAAACATGTAGGCAACTGAGCCAAATTTATAAAAATAAGAGCCATTCCTCAATTAATAAATGGTCAAAGGGTATGAAAAAGCAGTTTTCAGAAGAAGAAATCAAAGCTATCGATAGTAATGTGAAAAAATGGTCTAAATAACTACTGATTAGAGAAATGCAAATTAAAACAATTCTGAGATACTATCTCACACCTATCAGATTGGCTAACATAACAGAAAAGGAAAACGACAAATGCTGGGCGGGGGGATCTGGGAAAGTAGAGACACTGATGCATTATTGGTAAAGTTCTGAATTAGTCCAACCATGCTAGAGCACAATTTGGAACTACTCCCAAAGACCTATAAAACTATGCATAGCCTTTGACCCAGCAATACAACAACTAGTTCTGTATCCCAAAGAGATCAGAGAAAAGGAAAAAGGATATATTGGTACAAAAATAATTATAGTACTGTGTTGGCAAAGAATTGAAAATCAAGGGGATGCCCCTCAATAGGGAAGAAGTTGTGATATATGGTCGTGATGGAATACTATTGTGCTATGAGAAAGGATAAGCAGAAGGGTTTCAGAAGAACCTGAGAAGACACATATGAACTGATGCAAGACAAAGTAAGCAGAACCAAGAGAACATTGAATACAGTTAACAACAAAATTGTAATGAAGTAACTGTGAAAGACTTAGCTGCTCCGATCAAGACAGTGATCTGAAAGCACTTTGCAAACCTTAAAGTGGTATACAAACTCTAGTTATTATTTATATTAGAATTCCAAACTTATAAAATGCCCGATGCAGTGAATTAATTGATTTACATAACCCAAAACCATGAATTTAAGGAATTTTTACTCTAGAATTTGTCATGTATTTAAAAAGCAACATCTATTGTGTAACTGTATAGGCTATCTTGAGTTGAATGCTGTAAATATCTAGATGAAGGGGAAAAAATGAGACCAAATTTCTAGAAAGAGGGATTATAAAGACAAGATCTGAAAAAGCATAGAGTCAAGATGGTAAACTACTAAGTGAGACTATAATTTGTTTCACACAGTGGGCTGCTGGTAGAAATTGTTAGCATGTGATAGGGATATATATATATATATATATTTTATATATATAATACATATAAATACATATTATATATATATTATATATAAATATAAAATATATATTTACATATATGTATTATATATAATATATAATATATATTCATATATATTATATATTATATATAATGCATATATAAATATATTATATATTTATATATAATATATATTTTTATATGTGTATTTTATATATCATATATAAATATATATATATATTTATATATATTATATATACATATAAATCCTTAATCAGAAGGGATACAATTTAGTATATTGGGGAAGGTTATACTTGAGGTACTTGGATGAGAAGGAAAGAGAACACACCTTCATTCATAATAGAAATTAATGGAGCACTCTAGGATTGACTTTATAGAAATGTCTTATAGTCAACTTTATTGAAACAATGTATAATGTGTCTTTTTTGTTCTTATGTCCAGGATATAATCTGAGCAGTGATGACATGTCCTGTAGATATGGCTTCCATAGCACCTATCTGTTCTTTCACAACTGAGCTGAATCCCTCATCACTCAGGATGACTTCCCAGTGACAGGAATCTTATTGAAAGATTGTGACACTATGATTTAAAGTTAGAGATACACGTACCTGGGAAATAATGCCACTGTTATTTCCAGTAGAATTAAATTCAGTATCCTCCTCCAAAATAATATATGGGTTCAGCACTTTTTATTGAATATATTATTAAGCTTATTCCCAACACTAATAAGTAATTCCCATTTGCTCTTTTTTGACTTAGGGGGAGGGGAAATGGGACATTTGAACCTTTTTTTTTTAAGAAAATGAAGCTAAACATGTCACTCCAAAGGGTCAAATATGAATTTTAGGCCAAGTTTATGTCTGTTTTTTGCAGCCCTGAAAGCCCACAATTTGAGTTCTCTTATTATTGCGACTACTCTGACTGCTTATCTCAATATCTTTTTCAAACTAAATTTTATTTCTTCAATGAATAAAAATGGATTCTCTCCCTAATACCACCCATCACCATTGAAAAGAAAAAGGAAAAAAAAACCTCCTGTAACAAAAATGGATAGTCAAGCAAAACAAATTCCCATCTTGGCCACGTCCAAAACATCCATGTCTAATTCTCCAGTCTCTGTCAGGAGGTGTCCTTACCTTAGTAGCTAAAGAGTGGGCTGCTCCTGCTTCTAGAAGTACTGATGCCACGTCTACCTGGCCTTCCCTGGCTGAGATGTGCAGCGGCGTATATCCATTTTTAGTGGCTGCATCTGGGTGAGCCATATGTTGTAGAAGCAGCTGGACTATTTCTGTCTTACCCAGGCGAGAAGCAATGTGCAAGGGAGTCTGTTCCTCCTACAACTCAAGTCAAGCAAGAAGTTAGAGCCAGAAGGACTCCCTAATGACATATGCCAACCTGACTGCCCTTGGAGCAATGTCCCCCTGCAATTATTATTACTCTCGTTAGTCTTCATTGATATAGTATTTTAAGTTTTGTGAAGCACTTTACATGTATTATTATCTCGTTCAATCTTTATAATAACCTTTGAGATAGTTGTAAATATTATCCCTATTTTATTTATAAGGAAGTTGTGTCTGAGAGAAGTTAAGTGACTTGCCCAAAGTCACAAATCTACTAAGTAAGTGAGACAGGATTTGAACTCAGGTCTTCCTCATTGCAAATTTCACACTCTTTCCACTTGTGCCACCTAGCATTTTTACAGTACTGAGTTGATGCACTGTTAATAGGCATTGTGGACAAGTACATATTTCCATGACTGTGATCAATGTTTCTTTTCACTTCTACTTGCTTCTGATAATCAACACATCTCTGTTTTCAGCTGACTGAGGTAAAGGAGGCTTCAGTATTCACTTTATTTAAATATAAATCAACTTTGAAAATGTGTTTTTTAATTTGTTTTGTTTTGATTACAGAAGAGTACAGGACCCAGTACCTATCCAAGGATAAAGATGAAGATAATTAAAAAGAGAAATCACATCTCAAGAAATATGCAGTATGGGCAACTAGGTGGCACAGTGGATAGAGCACCAGCCCTAGAGTCAGGAAGATCTGAGTTCAAATCCAACCTCAGACACTTTGGCACTTACTAGCTGTGTGACCTTGGGCAAGTCTCTTAACCCCAAATGCCTCACATAAAAAACAAACAAACAAAAAAGATATATGCAGCATTATATGCTTGTCAAAGGTAAGAAATGCTCCTGGGTCATTGGCATCTTATTACTCCTGTTGACTGAAAATTCTGAAGGCAATTAGTCAAAAATTATGGGGAAGGACTGGCGAGTCATTCACTAAGAAAGTTTAGTCAGTCATTAAAAAGTAGGAAAGAAGAACAAAGAGAGTATGACTTAGGAGCATTGACAAGAGGGGTAAGGACAAGGACCTAAGATGTCAATGATGTAGAGCACCCCTGGTCAAAAAATCCTTCTATCAATGTAGATCTGAAACTGTTTTACCATTTATACTCTTAGAGACTACAACTGAAATGACTAGTTCAAAGATATGCCACTATCATCCCACAAACCCATAAATACATGTCAGAAGTGATGCTTGAGCCAAAGACCTCTCGATCCAGAAACTGGATATCTATGCATTTATACCACACTATGTTATATAGCTTACATATGTAATATATATGACATAAACATAACATACAAAATTAAATATAACATATGCACACTTAATATATTTTTAATGGAGCAGGAATAATATGAATTCCATTTCAGAAACAAACAAACAAAAAAGATAAAGTTCAGGTCTTAATTTGCAAAGCATTTCCTTCACAATAGCCCTTTGAGATAGGCAGTATAAATCCCCATTTTACAGAAAGAAAACAAAGTTAGGTAATGACTTGTCTACAGATGTGGAGCTAGTAAGTGGCAGTTGGTATAACTGAGCCTAGACACCAATCTAACAAAGTCCAGTTTTGACTGACTCAAATCTAGAGTATTCTTTCCACATTTTCAGAAACAAGGGAGCCTAAATGTGTAAAACCACAAAAGGTCACAAGGGTAAAATGTATTCATTAAAACAAGAGGAGAAGCAGGTGAGTGGGGAAAAAATGGAACATTTGAGAGCAGTGATTTTATAAGGAAACGTGCTTGGCTTTGTTTTTTTTTTTTAAGGCAATTGGGGTTAAGTGACTTGCCGAAGGTCACATAGCTAGTTAAGTGTCAAGTGTTTGATCTGAGGTCGGATTTGAACTCAGGTCCTCCTGACTTCAGGGCCAGTTCTCTATTTACTGCACCACCTAAATGCCCCCTTGGCTTTCTTTGATACTGGGAGAAGCATAGATAGATATAGTTACAGATAGATAGATAGATAGATAGATAGATAGATAGATAGATAGATAGATAGATAGATAGATAGATAGATAGATAGATATAGATATAGATATAGATATAATATATGTATACACACATACATACATATACATATATACATATATGTGTGTGTATGTGTGTTTGTGTATGTGTGTATATGTATGTCTGTGTATATATATGTGTATATTGATGTAGAGGAAGTACCATTTTTAGCTTAAAAATCCAATGATAAATGAGATAATAGATGCACAAATGCTTTGCAAAATTAAATATAAAAGTCTTCTCTCTGGTCCTCATGATACTCCATCTCCCCTCTCTGGGCCTGGTCAACCCAGATCTGAAATGCCCTCTCTCCCTCCTTACTTATGCTTGACAGAGTCCTATCTTCCTTGAAGATGCAGTTCATGAGCCATCTTCAATGTATGAAGCCTTTCTTAAGCCCCACTATTGCTACTGCCTCCCCTCCCAACCTACCCTGTATTTAACTACTTTGTGGGGGGGGGGAGTTAAAAAGGTGGGGGATATATACTTATATTTTCATTTATTCACTTTATATTCACATATTTTTATATAGACCCTACTCGAGGGCAGGGATTGTTTTCTTTTTTATATCTCTGGCAACAAGTACAGTGACTGGCATACAGTAGGTTCCTAATATATACTTGCTGATGATTGACTGACAATAAAGGATATTAGATCATGGAACCACTGCACTGTTCTCACTGTCAGAGCACAATACCCTTATTTAAATGGAGAACACTCTACATGATGGGTAGAGAGAGCTGCCTAGATACCTACCCTGGCTCGGGCATCCACGAGAGCACCATTTCTTAGAAGGCAACGGACTACTTCCACCTGCCCAGCTCGGGCTGCCATATGTAGCGCAGTCTCTCCACGCTGCCAGGAAACAAAGAGTTGAATCACAAATAAACCTACTCCTCTGGATGGTCATAAATAAATATGTCCATGGTACTGCAATTCAGGAACATGTCAATGGACTGGAGAAGATCTAAGCGGAAAGACTAAAGGAATTGGGATTATTCTAAGGAAGAGAAAGGTTTGGGGTCAATTAAAAGCAATTTACAAATTTATCAAATATGTTATACCCCTCCTTCAATTTCTCTATGGATTTAACAAGGAAGAGCATCTAAAGCCAGTGTTTCCCAACATACTTTCAATGTGTAACATCCTTGTAAACTCACCTGAACATTCAGGGTCCAGCATACACAGGGCAGGGGTGGTGGGGTGGTGGAATGGTTTGCCAGGAAGGCAAGGAAGCAGTATAGTTAACTTCAAAACTCAACATAAACATAGTCTCCAGTGAGATCATCTTTGTCATAGCACCATAAAGCAGTTTCTTAACCTGGAATCCATAAACTTGTGTGTTTAATATTTTGGTAACAGTATTTCAACTGATTTCCTCCATAATCCTATTTTATTTTGTGCATTTTAATTCAAGATTTCTTTCCCATGTAGTCTTCCCTCCCGTATTTGAGAATATTTTTAAGTTTGGAATAATTTATGTTGGAGTGTACAGTGGCTTAGATAATCTCAGGCAGTCACCCTAATCTTAATGACTGTGTTTACTCATACATGGTTCTTTGAAGAGACTTCCTAGCTTCTGGCTTCAGGTCAGAGATTGAGAGGTTAAATGTGGATTTCCAGGAGATTCACTGAATCACCAGGGAGTAGACAGGCCCAGGTCATCAGAGCATGCCTAACAGCATTTTCGTGATGCAATACAGTGCTGTGTCTGGCAAGCTGACTTAAGCTGGAGCTTGAGGGACAGACATCAGATCTAAAGCATAATTAATCAACAGTCAAGTCTGGAGTGTTCTTTGCAAGGGATTATAAGCATCTGTCTATCTTTAAAACAAGAAAGCCTTATAGTCCTGAATGAAGGCAGAAGGATAGACTAGATGGCCTGGCAACATTTTGTTTACTCTTCTGATAGAATCTTCTGATTCTTTAGCTATGCATGAAAAAAATGAATGGGGAACAAACAAATATACAGGTCAGAATTATTTTAAAAAATAATTCTGGTTTATCCTTGGTAGAATTAAGTACTTATCTTCAACATCCTACTTCCAAATTTAGGGGGTTGTCGGGACATTTCTCACAAATCCTAATGAAAAACTTGGGTTTTACTGACCAAGAAAAAAAAGCCAAGTAAATAGAAATCTAGAAGAGATTTGGGAAGATAAAATGAGACATCTGATATGCTGGTTACAGTCAAGCTCTGTTGATCCCTGAGACCTGTTGTTGTTTTTTGGACCATGACACCAAGAAGGCGATGCCATAACTTGCAAGTGAATTGGATTTAATTAAGGGAGGGCTGTGCAAAGTCACTTTCTCCTCCGGAGCCACGTGGGCCTAGTGGCAAGATAGAGATCAGGACAACTGGAGATGGCCCAGGAGGTAGGAGGAGACCATGGCCATTTAATCGATGAACAGTTAATATTCAAGTGAGAATAATCTCTCTCAAAAGATATTAAATACTTTATGCTAAAAGTCTCTATATTTTCTTGGATTACACATCACACACTATTTAAGAAGAATAGACACTATGAATCTAAAGTGCTGTCTGGAAATTGACACTGATAACAAAAGCCATTTTCAACTCCTGTGTTTTATAACTGTTAAGTATTTAAGATTTTTGCTCCTTGGAAAGACAAAATTTCTTAGTGCTTTGATGTCATTGACCAGTCTCTCCAAAGAGACCAGTAATACCAGTAATTAGACAACTCAACCATTTTTTATCACATCTCTTGGTTAAATGGCATTATGGTAATTGTAGCTTACAAGATTTCTTGGTGAAAGCAGAGAATACGCTTAGACTCCAGAGGGGCCCAATTGTTTTTTAATAAAATTATGAATCCAAAGAAGTATACTAGACCTACACTGAATTTCAAGTAATTCACTCTTGCTTTTACCATATTTTCCCTCAATGTTGTGAGAAGGTTAAATTCTCTGTGTGTATACATATATGTATATATGTATGTATATACATACATACACTTCACACATATATAATACACTACAGAATTATTCTGCTTTGATGTTTTAACTAATTTTAAGTTAGTTTAGTTTAAGTTTTAGTTTAACTAAAACAAATTTAGTTTCTTTCTTGATAATTCTCCCATAATATATAATCATATTTTTTTCTTAATTTCATGGAATTAGCTTTGGGGTGGGAATATGAAGTATATTTCCAGAAAAAAAAAACTTCTCCATTCTCTTCCCCTCTTTGCCATTAAAAAAACTTACTTTGCTGAGAAAAGAAGAAAATAAAAATCTACCATTGCCTACTACAGGTATGTTAGTGATTTGTTTTTTATTCTAGTATTGTGTTTAATTGACCATTATCCATTACTAGTTGCTAAAATATAATCATTGCTAGTTTTAGTTATAGTCTTCAAAGTGTATATATCAATAAAAGGGAAAAAAAAGTTATGTAGCTAAAAAAAATAGAACTGTCCAAGTAACTATTATCTAGAACTTAAAAGCTCTGACAAATTTGATGAGAAAATGATTATGGTCACATTTCAAGCAAGTTCCAAGTCTAACGCCACCCCCATCCCATCAGCCAGCTGGTGAAATTGACCCCACTGACAGCGATGTCAAGTTACAGTATTGCCGCATCAAGTCAGAAAGCTGTCAAGCATAACAGACCACATCGCATTCATGTAATGCAACAGGATTTCAGGCAACAGACAAATGATCTGGGGGTGGGGGTATTTGTAGGCAGGGAGCTGATCAAGTTGGAAACAGCAAAGCAGGCAGAAGTGTCCACACAGTTTCTGAATCAACTTCACAGGAGTTCTGGTTACACATTAGCTATTTTCTTTGTCTTTTTTTTTTTCTCAGAAGAGTTCACAAGCACTCCATCCCTTGATTTCCAGTTAAGTTCTGTTGATGCTATCGTCCCTAAAAGTCCCATCTCCTCCTAATGACACCTAGCGTTTTTTATTGTGCTTTATAATTTGTGAAGCACTTCACGGATGTTATTTCATATGTCCCTCATAACAATCTTGTGAGGTGAGTAATATAGGTGTTACACCTATTTTGCGATGAGGAAACTTGAGGAGAGAGTAGATGAACTTGAGGAGAGAGTAGACGAACTTGAGGAACTTGCCAGAGGCAATAGATTCAGTATTTGAGCCTAGGACTTTGACTTCTAGCTTTTCATGTTATATCACAACTGCCTCAAAATTGAAGGAAAAGGAAAAGGATGTTTGGGAAAGGTTATACTGTCAGGTATCTAAAATATGGAGGGGGTGTGTGTGTGTGTGTGTGTGTGTGTGTGTGTGTGTGTGTGTGTGTGTGTGTGTGTGTGTGTGTGTGTGTGTTCCTGTGTGGACATGTGGAGCTAGAACAGGGAAAAAGAGAATAAAGGGCAAAGGATGAATTCTCTTGAAATAATGGATTCCCTGAAAGAGATGATTCTCAACCCTGGATTTATGATACACCAGAGTATTGTTAAGTATGTTAAGGCATTATCACAAAATTCCCCCAAGAAATTTATTTTAGCTTAATATGAAAAAATAGATTATATATACCATATAGCACTTTTACTAGAAGGAAGGATTTGCGAAATCAACCAAACAACAGTAAGGCACTATGATTTCTAAATGGCTGGAAATTAATCAATTAAAAGGAAAATCAGAGATAGAATCTTATTTATGGTGCTGATCTTAGCAAGACTCCCAAAATAATATTTTATAGGATTGAAATCATAGACACATCATTTTGTATCATGTTTTCAACTCACACAAAGTTTTTTATAGCACAAATGATCTAGAATGTTGCATAAGTATAAGTAAGTATGTTATAGCTTTGGTGGTATTTGTTGCATTTAAGCTTTTGTTTCTGTTCAAAGTGGAGTTTGCGAATCCTAGTGTGAATGAAGAGGGTTTCATGATTCTTATTTTCTGTTAAATTTGGTTTCATCAAGGACATAAAATAATTTGTACTCATATTAGAAATTTAGGCACAGAAACAGTGTACAACTACAGAAACAATGATGTGTGAAAGACCATACACAAAAAGTGAAATTGGCTATTCTATTTCACAATCCAAATGGAATGAGGCATCAAAAAAAAAAAAATAGAAGCAACAGTGATAAGCCAATCTTTTAAAGACAATTTATATTAATAATAAAAAAAATTAAATGGACTTTTGTGGTGAATAATTGTTGTCAAATGAATTTGAAATAGTAAATGCTTTAAAATTTCAAACAGCAACCTCTTTGAAAAAGCAAGTTGATTTCACTCAGGAAGTTGTCTCAAGTTAGGATTAAAGGACATTAATTTAGAAAAGAGATTAAAAATATTCAGGCTTGAAGGGAAAGAAAATAAGACATAAAACAAAAATAGGAAAGGAAAATGAGGTCAAATGTTAGGACAACCTGGCCAAAAGAAAACTGGCCTATCCAGCATTTTGTAGCAGAATAAAAGTCACCTGAAAACTAATGCTGGTTTATGTTATACAAGAAAAACTGATGTGAAGCAGCTATTTCAGGGTATACAGGCCAAAAAAGGCTAGAAAATGGGGGGGGTAACAAGCAATAAAAGAAAAGAAAGTTGTTCTTAATTAAAATGTCCTTAGGATTGGACCACATCATCCTGATTTTTGGGCTGATGTTTGTTGGAATTACACTTCTCTCAAGCAATATTATGCATCCTCCTGGTTCTACCGTGGTCAATCATTTTTCCACCTTCTGGGCAGCTTAGAAATGTCTTACTTTTAATAAGAGTATTCAAGAAGATGCCTATTTAACCCATCTGTCCCAAGAGGCTCAAAATTTTCTGTGCTGTTGCTTCCAAATTTATTTTTGCTATATTCTTTTTGAGAAGCTAAGAAGCTGCCTCTTGGATAAATGTCTGGAAGTCTTATTAGTCAGAAGTACATGATACTGGAGATCTCCGGGGCATCTCAGCCCCTTGCTTTGACATGCACGCGCACACACACACGTAAGACCACGCACACACGCAGAACTCTCTCTCCCTTGCCCTCTGTGGTTATTCTATTCCAAGCCATACTCACAATGTTAGTGACATCTGGAGAGGCTCCATTCTGCAGCAGAAGGAGGACTATGTTCAGGTGGCCCATGAAAGCAGCCACATGTATTGGTGTGAGGCCAGACTGCGAAACAAAGCAATAGTAGTTTTACTCCTCTGCACGAGTGAGGGGCTTGGGGGCTTCTTTAGATAAAGAAAGCTGGAGTGAAAAAAAAGTAGAGAAGATGGACGAAAGGAGGAAGGAAAAGGGGGGGATGGGGGGAGAGAGAGAGAGAGAGAGAGAGAGAGAGAGAGAGAGAGAGAGAGAGAGAGAGAGAGAGAGAGCCAGAGCGACAGCGAGAGAGGGAAAGAGAGACAGGAAGAAGGGGAAATAGATAGGAAGAGGGAGAGAAAGGGAGACAGAAAGGAGGAAGGAAAGAGAGGAAAAAAATAGAGAGAGAGAGAGAGAAATGGACAGGAATGGGGATAGAGAGGAAGGAAGGAAAAGAGGGAGGGAGAGAAAGATGGGGGAGAGAGAGACAAAGATAGTGAGAGGAAACAGGAAGAGAGAGACAAAGAGAAAAGTAGAGATGGACAGGAAGAGGGAAGGACAGGAGAGGGAGAGAGAGACATACAGACAGACAGAGAGACAGAGACACACAGAGATAGAGACAGAGAGAGACAAAGACACAGAGACACAGAGACAGAGAGAGACAGGCAGAGAGAGAAGAAAAGAGAACAGAAAGAGAGGAGAGGAGAGGAGAGGAGAGGAGAGGAGAGGAGAGGAGAGGAGAGGAGAGGAGAGGAGAGGAGAGGAGAGGGAGAGAGGAGAGGAGAGGAGAGGAGAGGAGAGGAAGAGGGAGGAGAGGAGAGGAGAGGAGAGGAGAGGAGAGGAGAGGAGAGGAGAGGAGAGGAGAGGAGAGGAAGAAGGAGAGGAGAGGAGAGGAGAGGAGAGGAGAGGAGAGGAGAGGAGAGGAGAGGAGAGGAGAGGAGAGGAGAGGAGAGAAGTGAAGAGAAGAGAAGAGAAGAGAAGAGAAGAGAAGAGAAGAGAAGAGAAGAGAAGAGAAGAGAAGAGAAGAGAAGAGAAGAGAAGAGAAGAGAAGAGAAGAGAAGAGAAGAGAAGAGAAGAGATGTTTCTGGACAAGCTGAAACATTTTCTACCTCTGTTATAGCCTGGATTGAGGCCCCATATTTCACCAGCAGTTCCATGACTTTGATGCGGTTTTTCTTGCACGCAATGTGCAGTGGAGTAAAACCGTTCTGTGCGAGAGACAATCAAGTTAGTTGAAAACATGCAGATACAGAATCGTCACACAACTCCATGCTGGCACATTGCAGGCAATAGTGTTACCTCATCAAGGAGTGCGACCAGGGCCGCTCCCACCCTCGTGAGACAGGACACAGGGAGGTAACAGCAGCAGTGCCACACTCCTGTGATACTGGACTTTCCCCTCATAAGTCACTGGGGAACTGGCCTGCGTGCCCCAATGCTGGCAAGTTTTTGAAAAGGGAGGTAGGGGAGGCTCTCTCTTTGGAGGAGCAAAGAGGACAACATTGACTCTTTTAGAAGGTCTAAGAAGTGCCCAGAAATCAAATCATCATTGGTCGAGGTCTGAAAATATTGGCTTTTCTTCCAGACTTTGTAGGAAAGAAAATATTTTGCTGGTAAAGAGACGAGTTTTAAAGTATCTGAATTGCTAACCTGTTTGAAAATTAAGGCCTGTGGCCCTTTGCCTAATGTTTTGTTTGCCTCATTTGTTTTCTGTTATTCTTCTGGGAGTCATAACTGAAATATAATGATTATATATCAATACCTATATTTGTATGTATTTATATATGTATGTATATGTACATATACATTTTGTAATTATGCTTTTCAAATAAAAAGATTTTTGGAGCCATTGATCTGGAGTCTTTGTAACATAAACTAAGGATAGTAAAACCTCCAGGTGAGGATTTTGCTCCCTTAATTAACAATAAACTAAATAAGACCTATGTCCCAAGTTTTATGCTGCTGCATCTAGGAATTGGACCTGTGATGCCTATACTCCTCTGGTTCTGGGACTAAACAGTTAACTAGCTAACATTTTTATATATAAGGTATAACCATAAAGTAACGAGACATTAAAAATCTCCACCACAAAGTTTGCTTGCTATAATAAATACCTCATACACGGAAATCTATGTCTCAGCAGAATTAATTAACAGCATGTCAATGAGAAAGTTTTTTTTGTTTGTTTCTTAATGAGTACACCTAAAAAAGTAAAGGCAGAATATGCCTTTTAAATAGTTATTATTCTGGTACATTTGAGCATTTAATTTTCTCAATCGATGACAATTTAGCTATCTTTTTCCTCCATTAAAGTTCTATTCTCATTTCTCCTCATGGTTTGGAAGTTGTAGTAAAGGGTGACTGTGGGTTTCTAAGACTATGGGAGCAGAGCACCAGCACCACCATACCCTACCAAGATGGTAGACCTGGTGGCCCGTTTGAGAATGAGCCCACCTAAGTTTGGAGGCGCACCTTACCAGGGTGGCAGCAGGGGACATTTTTCAGTAGTTCTCAGGGACATTAGGGTTGGCCCAGTGTGTGTGGGGGTGGATTTGCCGTCTTTGTTGGAGGAAAGAAAACCTTATAGCAACAAAAATCACATCTCTGAAGTTACAATTAAAGTACTGAAATAACTATTATAAAATGCCTTTTGAGAAATGTGCAGCTGGCTCACAGCCACAGTTGGAATACATTCCCTAAATAGGGATGAAATGACAGATCTTTTCAGGCACTTTCCACCTACTGACAACTCTTAGGAAATTCATTAATTAGGGCCAAACTTACACTTATATAGTCAAATTGAAACTATTTGAATGGGTCTTCTTAATGTATTCTACTCTAGCTGCCAGTCACAAAGAGGTAATATGCTTGAAATGTACCAGTGTTTGTAATTAACATAATTTTCTATTTTATATTAGTTAACACTTACATAGTATGACTATTCTTAAAAAATACAAGGCCTTACTTAAGCTAATAAATAACTTATCTTTCACTATGAGATTATACACATAATGAATTTGCTCATTTTTTTTTTTGCTTAGGAGTGCTAACATTAACCTCCCCCCATGTATGTGTGTGAATATATGATATACATATGTATATCATATATCCATATGAACACACATACTTGTATAAGTGGTTCATATGAATTCTCATTTCTTGGTTACTGTATCTGACATACATTTATTTCCTATTAACAAAATATTTTCTTCTTTTTGGGGTAATGACTCCATATAACGACCTCATAAACTAACTTTGCTCCTAAAATCCAGGGCAGTCAATTCCATTGCAGGATTCTAAACAAGAAAATTTTAATTTTAATGGTCAGTGACCTTGGTTTTGCCTAGAAATGTGATAAGCTATTTGGAACTATATTAACAAGTGAAAAAAGATGAATTTCCTATTAGTTTGGGAATTAGCAAACATGAAGCATAAATATATTAGAAATATGCCAGGTCCTTTCAATGGATATTGTTAGGCTAGCCGGTGTTTAACCACAAGTAAAGCAAGGGGAAATTGGTTAAACGATAAGCCTTAGAAAACATAGGAATAGTTGTAGTAGCAGCTCTTCCCAACTTTCCTTTTCAATCTGTCCATATTCCAAGAACTGGAAATTAAATAAAAATGCTTACTGAAGCACTTAGAAGAGAGACATCAATTCCCCACCCCCTCTTGAATCAATTTGTCCAGACAGAAAATCTCAAAGTTATTATTCACAGGGTTGTTTCTTCTTATTCACAAAATAAAGTGACTGGTCAACTGAACTGTAGTCATATGTAATCCCCAAAGTCTTAGTGCAGTTTTGAGCGTTGAGAGTTTAAAAACTCAGACAGCTTAAAAACTGCACTAAGAATTTTGAGCCACCCTGTATTGATTTTAATAAACATCTCTAGGATGGATTACCCAATGAAACTGTACTTTCAACAAAGCTTCAGACAGGAATGAAAATAAAGAACTGATATTTTCCTTTTAATTTAGAAAGTACTCCCTGAATTCATCATTGTTTAACCCTTGCTTTTCTTTTTTTTTAAAATAACTCCCAAGAATATCCTATATTCAGTTAGTCTACCCCTAAGCACCTGAGAAACTGAAATAGTTTAATTCTGCCTTCTTCTAAGATTTTAATTTTCCCTTGAAGTTTCTCTTGACCTCAAGGGATTGACATCAGCATGTTTGCAACTGATGGACTTCTGAAATGTTACCTTGGTGCCCTCTGAAATCTATGCTGTTTCACCATCAGAAAATAGCAAAATAGGAAAGCGTGAACGAAGCAGGAGCATGATGTGTGATAGGTAGGGTAGAAATGACTTTGTCCCCAAACCATTCCCTATTTTTGTTTGCATAGTCAATCAATAAACACTGGCTTGATAACTCCCTTTCTTGTTTCATTGAGGTAGAGTGGGCCAGGTTTACCAAGGCTCTGGCGTTAGGATTGGCTCTCTTGTCCAGGAGAAGTTTGGTCACACGGTAGTGGCCACAGTGTGCAGCAACATGGAGGGCGGTCAGGTAATCCAGGGTGACATCATCCACTGGGGCCTTATGCTGTAGCAGGTGTTTTACACATTCAACATGGTCCCCTTGTGCAGCCATGTGAAGTGGAGACAGTCCATTCTAAGCAATGACACAAACAAAAAAAACAGTAAGTACACATTCTTCTTGTTACTTTGGTTATTGGTATATTGGTATAGAAATCCACAGTAGCCTAAAGAATTTATGCTTAGCTTTAAAATGCACGATATGACTTTCAGTGTCCTGAAAATTTACCTGAGTATTTCTTGGGCTAAGAAACTTCACGTTGTCCAGAAATTCTACTTTGCTAAATAAGTATTGCTCTTTACTGAAAGTCAGGATACTTGACTCTCAGTTCCGGCGCTTCCATTAGTTCAAGCGAAACACTTTGTGTCTCCATATTTTGGGGTTAGTTAAGATAATTAGATGACTCTTAAGGTCTCTTCCAACTCTTCGGTCCCACAATTCCCCAAATTAGCTGAGTAGGCACTATCTGATAACAGAAGTTAGGCACTTCAGAGCCATCCTAAGTGGCTACCTTCTGACTCAAAGAGAACAGGATAATCAGCACTAAGATGGAGGGTTGATCATTTCTGTACATTTAGACATATCCCACATATCAGGTAGGATATGTTGCATGAGTCACTTAAACTCTTTGGCCTTCAGAGTCCTCATCTGTAAAATGGGGAGGTAGGAGGATTTCTAAGCTCTTCCCCTCTATGCTTTGATTCCCACTGTCTGTCTCATTTTTTGGTGCCAAAAGCAAAAGCTAAGAGAGGTGTTAGTAGTAGACAGGGCTTCACTCAGGGTCAAAAAGTTCCGGCTCAAACTCCAAGTCTGGCCCTTACAGACTCTCTGGCATTGATAAGTTGCTTAACCTCTCCGAAATTCAAGCAAATAGAGAGGTAGATAAGACCTCATGGGTAATTTAGTCTGACATCCTCCCTTTTCCCCCAGCATCATTTTAAAATATGGAAGCTAAGGACCAGAGAGGTGACTTGAATGTTAGGATCACAAAGGAGCTATGTGGCGCAGCTGAGATTTAACTTGAGGTTATATCATTCCAAATCCATCATTCTTTCTACTGTACCACGACGACTCTGAATTCTCTGAGATTGTATGGTCTGGATGGGTTGCAATCTGCCCTCCTGAAACTTATTCTATACCAGGAATTCACATGCTGATAAAATTAGTTTCTTGGGGTGTGTGTGTGTGTGTGTGTGTGTGTGTGTGTGTGTGTGTGCGCAAGCACACAAAAAGTAAATTTTAATATTTCTATGAGGTCAGTAGTATGGGAACTTCCTTCCACTAAGGCAGATATCTTAAGTAAATAATAATAATAACTGATATTTATATTGTTCATAGTATCTGCCAGGTACTGTGCTATGCACTTTACAAATATTATCTCATTTGACCCTCACTACAACTCTGGGAGGTTACTGTCTCCATTTTATAGATGGAGAAGCTGAAGCAGAAGTTAAGTGACTTGCCCAGGGTCACGCAGTTAATAAGTATCTGAGGCCACATTTGAACTAAGGTCTTCCTGACTCTAGGTCCAGTGCTCTATCCACTATACCAACTCGCTGCTTGTAGTAAATGTGTATGTATGTACGAACTCAAGAGGTCCACGAAAATAAAACTTCATCTGAACACGTCTTCCATGTACTGGAGGCCTAAGTAAATTATTGTCCCATTAACAATCAGTGTAAATATGATCACTTAGGACAATAACTGCTGAATAAACTCCTAATCTGATAGCCAATGAATGAGAGGGATTTACCCTGTAATACAACAAAACAAAACAGAAATTTATCTGTATAAGGTGCCAGTATAGGGCAGCTAGGTGATGCGGTGGATAGAGCACTGGGCTTGGAATCAGAAAGATTCATCTTCCTGGGTTCAGATCTGGCCTCAGACACTTACTAGCTTTGTGACCCTGGGAAAGTCACTTAACCATGTTTGCCTTAGTTTCCTCATCTGTAAAATGAGCTGGAGAAGGAAATGGCAAACCACTTCAGTATCTTTGCCAAGAAAATCCCAAATGGGGTCATGAAGAGTTGGATAGGAATGAAATAACCACACAACAATAATAAGGTGCCAGGAACAGCCTATACTGTCATGGAGGTATCTACCTTCCACAGCTCAAAAGGCAGAGCAGTTGAAAGCCAATTGGCACATTGGTATATGTGCCCTAGCTACATGTGCTGCCTATGCATGAGTGCTCCCTATTACATACAGCCCTCCACATATGAACCATGCTAACATGCTCCCTATGCATGGGACTTTTCAAGCATATTCATTAGGGGTGTCCACTCTTAGCACTTGATGGCATATTTGTAAGAGAGAGTATCCTAGCTTTATGGGAAAAAAAACATTCTATTGCTAAAACTCATCTTAAAGGATTCTTTCAAGAATTGGATTTGCTTTGAATTACTCCAGATTAATGAAAGTAACCTGAGGAGGTAGCGAGGCAGCGAGGCAGACAGAACCCTGGGCCAGGAGTCAGAAAGACCTGAGTTCAAATCTACCCTCAGATACTTACTAGTGAGGTAACTCCGGGCAAGCCACTTAACTTCTGTTTGTTTAATCCACTGGAGAAGGAAATAGCAGACCACTCTAGAATCTTTGCCAAGAAAACCTCATGAACAGTATGGTCTCTGGGGTCATGGAGAGTCCAACATGACTGAATGATTGAACAAGTGAAAGTAAAGACAAGGGTGGAAGCTTATGTTATGATTTTGTGGGTTCATTTGGGGTCTCCAATTTGAAATGACCTGTGTGGATAATAAGTCACTTTTGTCACGGGTGACAGATCTACAATTGAAGCAGTAATCATGAAAGGCCTCATTTTGAGGTAGTACCTGAGCTGAATCTCTAATTGTTTCAAGAGGTTAAGGTGAGTATGGCAGGTGGTAGATTGTGGAGATGGAATGTCATATTATCCTAATAAAAACATATGAGGTCAGTATAGGGATTGTTCTTCTCCCTCCTCTCCCATCCCTTTCTCATGGGTGATGGAATTCAGACTCAGAGAAGTTAACACTTATTTCTGGTTGCATACGTTAGAGTGTTTGCGATCCATTTAAGTGTAGTCAAATCCATGCCTCTCATTGCTTCTCCAATATGGTGAAAAGAGTTTTTGATTCAGTCAAATGGGAATTTTGCATTGATGCACCCTTGCTTATACTTATGGAGTTCAACAAAAGCAGTGCCTTGCTATATACTAGTATCTTATTCACCATCCATACAGGTCATTTCAACTTTCATTCAAACAACCTGGACCCACAAAATGGGGAAATTAAAATGCTAATGTACTATTGGTGAAAGTATATACAGATTCAACCATTCTGGAGAGCAGTTTGGAACTATGTCCAAAGGGCTATAAAACTGTGCATACCCTTTTGACCAAGCAATATCACTCCTAGGTCTGTGTCCCAAAGAGGTGAAAAATGAAAAAGAAAAAGGACCTCTGTGTACAAAAATATTTATAGCAGTTCTTTTAGTGGTGGCAAAGAATTGGAAATTGAGGGGATCTCCATCAGTTGGGGAATGGCTGACCAAGTAGTTGTATACAGTTGTGAAGGAATACTATTGTGCTTTAAGAAATGATGAGCAAGATGCTCTCAGCAAAACCTGGAAATACATGAACTAATGCAAAGTGAAATGAGCAGAACCAGAACACTGTCCATAGTAACAGCAATGTTGTTTGATGATCTATTATGAATAACTTAGTTATTCTCAGTAATACAATGATCCAAGACAATTCTGTAGGACTTAATATGAAAGGTGCTGTCCATTCCAGAGAAAGAACTGGTAAATCCTCAATGCAGATCGAACATATGTTTTCTTTATTTTTCTTGTTTTTTTTTTTATCTGTGTTTTCTTTCACAGAATGACTTACACAGAAATGTTTTGCATGACTACACATGCATAACCTATGTCAAACTGCTTGCCTTCTCATTGAGAGAAGAAGGGCAGCGTGGAGAGAATTTGGAACTCAAAATTTGAAAAAAAAATGAAAAAGAATGTTAAAATTGTTTTTACATGTAATTGGGAAAAATAAACTATTAAATGAGAAAAAAATAAAAGCAAATTAATTCCACATGTGCTTTAAATGAGTGGATTGTTTTTCCACCCCAAATGTTTCAAATTAAGTAGTCAATTAAAATATGAGAATCCTTAAAATATATGCTTGAGTTGGTGCTTCTTTTCCCCTCTCTTTCACTGGTAAATGCCTCAGCCAAGGCCAATTAGGAGGGAGGGAAGGGAAGGAGGAAATAAGCATTTATATAGAACCTACTATGTGCCAGGCACTTTACAATTATCTCATTTGATGCTTCCAACAATCTTGAGAGGTAGGTGCTGTTATTATCTCCATTTTACAATTGAGGAAACTGAGGCAAACAGGAGGTAAGTGACTTTTCCAGGGTCACACTGAGGGTCAGAAGTCATATCTGAACTCAAGTTTTCCTGACCCCAAGCCCAGTGCTCTATTCACCATTAAGCTGCCTCAGTGGTCAGAACTGGCTCAGAAGGAAGAAAGAGGAAACATATGAAATAGGTTTGGGATCACTTGTGACTATATAGAAATAGCTAGGTGGCCTAAGGGATAAAGCACTTAGACTTGACACTGAACCGAGTTGCCCTAACCATTGTTTCTTGCTCTGCAAATACTCCTATATTTCTATTTTTAAAATGTCAATTAGTTGGAATTGTGTCACAATTTTTTTCCTTAAAATGTGCAAGGAGACTAAAATTATTCTGCAAGCTAAAGACATTTGAAATATCCAGCCATCTTGGAGGACATGCAATGAAAAAAATATGTATGTGCATATCTACATTTATCTATCTATACACATACACACACACATATAAAATTATGTATATATGTGTTTATGTGTATGTTTAGGCTTTGTAATATAATCCAAAGTTTTTTATTTTTTTTTAAAGCTCAACCACCAGAAACAATTAAATATCTGGCTTTTATCTATGTAGTGGAATACTACTCATTTGAAATATATTTCTCCCACAGTATGACCTAGTCATGAGACAGACAAAAGTCACTGTGCCACAGACATTATCTTCACTTGACACCATTTACTTCATTTCCCTCACTAAATTCAGGCAGGCCACATAAAAGGGGGCTTTTTAATCTCATCTTTACCCAACACAAACACAGTCTCACAGCACTACTGTGGGCAATTCTCTGTGCCATCCACAGGATGAAGCATTCCTCTGCTGCTATTAATCTACCTTCAGAGACTTATTTTGCAGTATCATACAATCCAGAATAGAGCATATAGGGAAGGCAAATTGAAAAAGGAAAGAAGATATGAAGCCTTGAGAAATTTTTTAAGGAAAAAAAAATAAGTCTTTTGAGTCACCATCAGTGATTACATCTTCAATTGTCAGATTAAAAACTTTCCCATAAAAATCCTTAAAACCCAAGAAATCCTTAAACAAATAGTTTAACAAGGGTCAGATGCAGCTCTTCAGTGTTTACTTGCTGTTTCAAAAACAAATAAAAACAAACAAGATAATAAGACCTTATTAGTTATTCCTATGATTTTTAAGCTTTTAGAAAATTGAATCAATCATGTTATAAACACAAAGTGTATAACATGAAAGCAAGCATATAATTCCTGTCAGAACACTGTGTAGAACTCTTTATGGGACTCTGTGACATAGAATCATAAAGTGCTGTAAGTAGAAGGGATTTTTAAGGCTATTGTTATGTAGATGAACATAAAGATGAACATAATATATAGATGAGCATAATTTGTTTCAGAATATAGGATATAGATGAGCATAAATGTTTATCTGAAAAAGTGAACAAGGAAGGAAGGAAAGAAGGAAGGAAGAAGAAGAGAGGGAGGAAGGAAGCAGGGAGGGAAGAAAGGAAAAGAAAAAAGGAGGGAAGGAAAGAAGGAGGGAAGGAAGGAAGAAAATCAGTGGCCTAGTCCCGATCCTTATCTATAAACAGAGGCTACAGCACTGAAGTACAGAAATGTGCATGAATATAAATGTAGGTATTTTAAGTTTTAAAGCAATATGTAAATTTCATTAAAAAAAAAACCAAACTGCTGCTGGGTTTCATGCCTAGAAACTCTGCTGCTGGAAAGGCTGAGGCTGATAGATTGCTTGAGTTCAGGAATTTGAGCTGAAGTTGGGCTAAAGCCAATGCGGTGTCTTGCACCAAGTTCAGCACCAATACAGTAGGGGGTTACCAGGGAGTCTAAGGAGGGACTAACTAGTCCAGTTTGGAAAAACAGAGCAGATCAAAGCCTCCAGGATGATCAATAATATTGGCCCATGAGTGGCTGTTGTACTTCTAGCTTAGGCAACATAGGGAGAGCCAATCTCCAAAATGAAACAAAACCAAACAAAACACACACATAAATCAGAGGAAGATAAATGTCCAATAAATTGACTTAATGAATTAACACAAGTTATTGCCATGTTGTGGATGGAAGAGATGATAAGAAAGCAGTTTAATGATTTTCCAAGGGCTTTGTCTTCCCTGGAGACACTCACCTTGGTCCTTGCCAGCAAGGGGGCTCCTCTTTCTAAAAGAAGTTCTACCACCTGGTCATGCCCACTCCGTGCTGCACAATGAAGTGGTGTCAGCCCATCCTGAAAAGAGAATTAAAAGATGGCATCTATGGGTGGTGTCTTTTTCTTTTATTTCCTTTTCATTTTTAACCAATGTTACCAAGTCAATAGATGTCCATAATTCCACCTTGTTCAATTAAGAAATCAAAAATTGTCCTTCTGAGAAGGGGAAAGAAAATATTCACCTCCCCACCTTTCCCGACCAAGATAACTTGATGGATGAAACCTGCTGACCAGTCAGCCAGTTATTGATTCTGAAAGGTCAAAAAGAAGGTTGTGGCTCTCATGGACACACAGATCTTGTCTCTCTTCTCTCCTTCCTCTTTTTCCTCCTGCTTCTCCACTTGTTTTGGGAATTCCCTGCCCTAGTGCTTAACTCAGCAATACCCTAAAGCATTTTCTGGCAAATGATTCTACTTCTGTTTGGTTTGCAGTTGTCAGATGAAAATATGGTATAGTTATACCGGAAGACACAGTACAAAAAATCTCTAAAAAGGGAAAAGTGTTCAAATCAGAACACTCTTACAATTGAGCAAACTTAAAAGGCCCCTCCTTGCTGAGACAGAAGAGACTTGAACAAAAGATCAGCCCTTTCCCATTAAATCTGCTGTTATGGCAGCCTCTCTCTGCAGTATTTTTGTTAATAAAAAATGTCTTATGGGCAGCTAGGTGGCACAGTGGATAGAGCTCTGGCCTTGGAGTCAGGAGGACCTGAGTTCAAATCTGACCTCAGACACGACATTTACTAGCTGTTTGACCCTGGGCAAGTCACTTAACACTGACTGTCTTACCAAAAAGCAAAAAATAATTTTAAAAATATCTTGTTAAATCCGCTCATGCATAGAAAGCCTAACAATACCAAAAAAAAAAAAGGGTTAATAAAATAGTTACTATTCCTTGTACTTTTCCCAAGACCTAGGGTAGTAAGGAATAAAGTAGGGAATAAAGAAGGAATAAGAAAGAATAAAATAAGCAATAATAAAAGACAACAAAAATAAATTCCCATATATTAAAGTGTGAGCATGTTCGGGCTTTGTTGTAAATTCTGAACACTCAAACAATCAAGCACTCACCAGCACTGAAACATTCAAAGGGAAAATTCTTTCTTTGGAAGGAAAGCAATTTTTGAACAAAAAACAAGTTTATAACATGATGCTCATCCTTATAGGTTTAACTAACAGAGAAGGATCTAATTTAATATAGGGATATATATTTAAATAAGCAACTTACCTGGATCTCAAAGACAGTTTTCTACCATCTCTTTTCCTTACCATCTTTCATCAGGTCATTGCCCCACCCCAAAATCATGAAAGGCTGCCTACTGACTACAGAATGCACACTCTACAGATGGGCATCAGACTCTTCTAAAATATATCTCCAATTTACCTTTTTCCATCCTTATTTCCTGTTTCTCTGTTTCAGCCAACCAATCCTACTCACTCCCTTCTGAATCCTTGAGCATGACCATCTATGCCTTTGTGTCCATACAATTCAGTGGATGGAGATACAGAAGTTAAAGATGGCTTTCTTGTCTCTAACTGAGTTCCATCCATTCTTCAAGATCCATCTGAAGCATCTCTTTCTCTGGGAAATCTTCCCTAATTATATGAGGCAGCTAGAGGGTGCAATAGATTGAGTGCTGAGCTGAGAGGCAGGAAACCCTGAGTATAAATCCTGCCACAGTAGAACCCTCGGGGAAAGTCATTTAGGGTCTTCTACCTCAGTATCCTTGTATGATTCCCACAGGGTTGTTCTGAGGGTCAAAGGAGATAAGGGGAAAAAGGACCAAACATTTAATTAAATGCCTGCTATGTGGTAGACACTGTGATAAGCGCTTTACAGAAATTATCTCATATAATAACACTTGTAAAGTGCTTTGAAAAGCTTAAAGTGCTATGAAAATGATGCCAAGGTTATCTATCCACAGAGACTTTTGTTCCTGTGAACTCCCAAATCAATCATTTGGTGCCTTTATATATAATGTTCTTTGCAAACTTTAAAGCACGATATACATTTAGCTATTATTAATAATATTATTACCCCTCTGAGTTCGTATTTCGTCTCTTTCTTCCCTTGCATAGACAAACGAAAAAAAAATCATCTACACTTGATCCCTCCAATTCCTCCCCCGTCCCACTCACTCTTCAATCCCTTGTAATTGGATCTCTCACTCCACTGCTCTCCCGAATCTGTTCTCTCTCTCCAAGGTTACCACTAATCACTTAATTGGTAATTCCCATGGTCTTTTTCTCAGTCCTCATCTCTTTTTTTAAGCCCTCTGCAGCTTTAGACTCCAATGACCCCCCTTTCATCCTAGATACTCTCTCTTCTCTTAGCACTTGCAATATCATTCTTTCCTGGATCTCCTTTTGTCTTATCTGGCTATTCTTCATTGACCTTTGGATGACAGTGACTGTCCTGCAAAGCTCTGTCCTGCCTCCTCTTCTATCTGCATCTTCTCTTTTATATAAAATAATATTTGCTTTGGATGCTCTATGTATTCCCTAAAGTATCAACCATTCATGTTTGGTTGTTTGTTTGCTGTAGTTTGTTTTGTTTTGTTTTTTTCATTTGTCACATATTACTCACGAGACCTCAACTTCTCTGGACTTCAGTTTCTTTCTCTCTAAAACGATAACCCTATACATCCAGTCAATCAGCGCTTATTAAGCAATTATTTTGGGCTGAGTACTAGGAATGCATAAAAAGCAAAACCGCAGTATTTATGCTCAAGAGCTCACATTCTAAAAGGAGTTAGACAAACTTGTTGAATTTTTTTAAATGGTTATTAATATTTTTTATTATTGCTTTTATACTCTAGCAAATCTTATCACGCAAATAAAATTTATCCATGCATACTGAAATGTTAACATAATTTAGTTTTGCAACAGCTACACATGAAACTTTTAGGAATACAATGACTCTGCTACTCTCTGATTATTTTAATCCATTTCAGATAGAAAATACCCCAAAGCAATTTTTTTAATTGGGGTTAAGTCATAGGCTTGGTGAGGATTTTTATTCAAAAATAGGTATTTCAAAAAGATTGCTGATAATGATAATGACAGCTAGGTGGCACAGTGTGCTGGGTCTAAAGGCAGGAAGACCTGAATTCAAATCCTATCTCAGATATTTACTAGCTATATGACTTTGAACAAGTCATTTAACCTGTCTGTCTCAGTTTCCTCAACTGTAAAATGGAGTAATGATAGTACCCATCTCTCAGGGCTGTTGTGAGGATTAAATGGGATGTTTGTAAAGTGCTTAGCACAGCGCCAGGCATGTAGTAGACACTGTATAAATGCTTTTGTTGTCATTGAGTCATTTTTCAATCACGACCAAGTATTTGTGACTTCATTTTGGGGTGTTCTTGGCAAAGATAATGGAATGGTTTGCCATTTCTTTCTCCAGATCATTTTACAGATGAGGAAACTGAGGAAAACAGGGTTAAGTGACTTGCCCAGGGTCACACAGCTAGGAAGTATCTGAGGCCAGATGTGAACTCTCAAAGATGGACTCTTCCTAACTCTTACCCTGGAACTCTATTCACTCTGCTATCCAGCTGGCCTATATAAATGCTAGCTATCATCATTACTATTGTTATTAAAATTATAGATTTAAAGCTAAAAGGGAGCTTAGATGTCATCTAATAAAACTTCAGTTTATAGATAAGGAAATGAAAGTCCAAATTTAGTTAACTTTGAATTAAAGCCCCAAATCACATACATACTAAATAATATAGTTGCCAAGTTTAAAATCCAGCTTCTCTGACTTCAAATCCATAACTCTTTCTGTGCCATGCTGATGCCAAATACTTTTTGAACTTTATAGGAAAGAAGACTATAAGTAGATTTTCTATGGATACTTAGCAAAGTAATTTCAATGGTGATCCAGATATAGTGTTATAAGCATTGGATGTCTAAGGGTGGTTAGCAACTCTTGAGGGACCCTTGCAGGGAGTCCTTGAGGTCAAAACTATTTTTATAATTATACTAATTCATTTTAATTTCTAACACAGCAAATTTCAATTCATATAACTCACATATACAAAAGTTCTTGGGGGAGGAGTTGGGGACTCCTTCCTTGATTTTTAAGAGTAAAAAAGGTCCTGCTTGAGATATAAAATGTGGGAACCACTGTCAAGAGAGTTATAATTATAATCAACAATTACAAAGGAAGGGTCATAACAGCAACATCATTTTGGAGCTCACCATGATCCCATGGCAACAATAAGACACAATCAATTATTTGAGCATTTGTTCAATGTCTACTACATACATGGCCAAATGCTCTTCCAGATACTGAGCACAAATACAAGTGAGGCAATCGCTATTTTCAAGGGGGTTATTTACCATTATGACCTTTGCTTCTGCCATTTAACTTACTTGCCCTTTAAAGGAAGACACGGGTGAATCATGGTATTAAGTTCAAGCGAGCATATCATGTTCCCTTTGGATTGATTCTGAGTGCTTTTTAATCAAATCACAGATCAGATTGTAGCCATAAAGGTCCTGCCAAGGTGTTTTAAAGAAAGCAATCCTTGGGTTCCTCTAGAATCTCAGAGTGTGACAGAAAATGAAAAGACAAAGGACCTGAGGTATCCCTGGGCTTCTGAGCATCATTTCCCTCTTGTGATTACCATCCTGGACAATCTCATTGTTTGCATAGAATTGGGTCAGACCCTCGCGTGAATCTTAAAGGGACACAAAAATGATTACCTTGGCACAAGGGTTCTCCTCACCTTAGTAGACATAATCCTTTCACTTTCTTACAACCTTCATTGTCACCTTACTTCCTCCTCTACTGACCTATGGTTGAGCTTTCTGAGCTCATATTGGTCTGATCAGCCACAGTCGGACACACTGTACCTTGACTTCAACGTAGTAATGTCATTTTTGTTCCTCTTAGAGAAGGAAGGACAATAACCAACCAACCAGTTCCTCCTATGCTATCCTTTTTATCTCTCACCCTTCTCTCCATGACACTTTCATTCTCTCTCGTAACTTGTCAATATATTCTTG